TAATGCGTCGAAGGCCTAAGTCGGGAAATTCGCCATATTCTGCATCCGACTCAGGGGTGTTGACGAGGGTCAGCTCTATGGGTCTGCGAGTGACCATATTGCTTCCCTTGGGCAGGAATTCGTGACCGACGAGGGCTTCTAAGACAGAACTCTTTCCTGACGACTGGGAACCGATGACAACAATTGAAGGGAGCGTCAGTGTGCTCGATTGTCCAACTTGCTGGAGCATGCTCCGAATCTCGATCATCTTCTTGGTGAGGATCATCATCTGGTCGTCATTGGCCACCTCGTCGGGATCTCGTGGGTCGTCTTCTGAAGATTGGTCGTAGCCGTACGCAGCAGCCGAGCCTCCTGCAACAACAGCCGCACCTGCTCTACTCTGCTTGGGCTGCTCCCCTCCAGGGCCTCCTGAGCCGCCACCACCAGTGCCAATGTCTTCGTGGATACGCAAGACCTTTTGAAGCCATTCGGGGGTTTCGATTTGTTCTTTCGTATTTTCCCAACCGCGCATTGTTTGATCCATGATACCTTTGGCACCTCCAAAGAGACTAGACGTCGTTTCCGAAATACCATCTGCTGTTTTGCTGACCATATCCCAGGCGTTGGTGGTGAGCTCTGTGAGTGATTTGGTCAGCAGGGGCAACTCATTTTGATACGAAGGGAAGGCCAGTACGTACGGTTAGCTTGGTACTGGATCCAGGCGAGTGTTCCGACAGCTAGGCCACCGAACATGGCGGGGATTCTAGCAAACTTGATAACCAGCTTTGGTAGGAAGCGGGCAAAGGACGCATTCCGTACGACGACGGCATTGTGGAAGGCATTGCCAGGGAACCACATGCGCCGTTGGGTAGCACGCACAGCAGCATCTGCTCGCTGAAGCCCGCCTGCGGGAAATCGGTGGAAGTGTCGAACGGCCTGGACTGGAGCGCGTCGCGTCAATGGCGAAAGCCCTGCGGCCAGGAGACGTCCGCTCATGCTGCCGACGAAGCACGGGACGCGTGTAGTATGAGAGGGTGGTGTGTTCTTCGCATCCGAGATTGGAACTCAAGTGGAAAAGCCAGAGGGTCGTGTGTCCGAGATGGAGGAGCGGTGTGGTTGTGGTGATAGTTGATGTGGGTTTCGCCAAAGCCTCCGGCCTGACAAGAGACTTGAATATCAGAAATCCGTTGACATGTCACGGATCGGGGACGAATGAGGAGCGGCGTGGATGGGAATCAAGCGGGTTCTCGCGGGTTGCATGAAGAGCCCATTTCACTAAGGCACCTACCTAGTGGGGACGACCTGGCATTGACGTACCGTCCATCTTCCCCAAAAGAGTACCTAGGGCCCTAGGCACCTCCCTGCCGGCTGATTAAGATACTAGGTAACGGTATGCACCAGCACAACTGCACATTACTTTAGGCCGCAGCTCAATGGCTTTCTCTTATCGCTCTTCGCCCTTCGCATAAAGCCTTATCGCCTTCGTCATCCCCAGACAGCCCGTAAAAGACACAGCTCCAAGGTGCCTCCGATGGCGCTGGATCTCCAGTCGCACCTGGGCAAAGAAATTATTTGAACATGGCCATCCCAGCAGCAGCTGACCAGCTTTGCTTATACCGCCCCTGATCAAATGACTCACTGTAATTCTTGCCTCATTCATCCCCAACTGAACCCTAAGAATTCACCAAGGTGCTCGGAAAAGCAACCGGAATCCCGACCGAAGGCGCAATCGCTGGGAGTCATTCTTTTAGATTAACACCAATACTTTGTACCCTGAGAACCTCCACATCATACAAACGCCCAGCTCTTGCCTCGTCAACTTTGTGTGCTTTAGTTTCCTACCGGCACGGGCCTCAGCTCAACCTCCCCCCACCCACGTACCTACCTGACTTATTCGGTACTCCGTGCTCTGGTATTCAGCTGGTAGCTACCTCATCCCTATCAACTTGCGCCACCGCCCTGGGGTTTCTGATCGCGCCATAGCTCATCAAACGAATAAATCTGGCCAAACACTTCCTCCGACGTCTCCTATTCGCGAATTCGTCTTTGACTTCTGGTCATACCCCCTGAGCACATGTTGTTGTTTAAGAACAGCCAAATCCCATCGAAGACAAAGTCGCATTGCTCACGCGACACCTTCGACTACCTTTTTCCCCCACGCCTTCCTCTTCTTCTCGACTCCGCCTGAGTCGCCCGTCGCAGCTTGCCCAAAATGTGCCGCTTCTTGGTAGGTTCAGTGTTGTTAAGCACTATCGGACACCTGTTGACCGATTCAAGGTATATCGGGGAAGCGACGAGATTCTTCTCTCCAAACTTATCCTTGACCCTACGCATTCCATCCTGAAGCAGTCGTTTGACTCCAGGCTCAGACTGGTATGTCACTCTGGCGCACGGGATTAAGGTACCGTACTGATATCTGGCCGCGGCCAAACAGGATACAAGAAGAGGCCAGAACAATGCAGATGGCTTCGGAATCGGCTTCTATACGGATCCCAAGCTTGGCCACGCCCCTTGCCTCTTTACCTCGACAATCCCCGCCTGGAATTGCACCAATCTTCAGCGCATCGCCTCCAAGACCGCCTCCCAACTCATCTTCGCCCATGTGCGAGCAACGACTGAGGGATCTCTCAGTGAAGATAACTGCCATCCATTCTGTCATGGTAGCTTGATGTGGATGCACAATGGTGGTCTTGGGGGTTGGAAGTATATCAAGAGAAGGCTGGGGTCGAGATTGGCCGACAAGTGGTACCTTGGGGTTCAAGGTGGTACAGACAGCGAATGGGCGTTTGCGCTGTTCCTTGATACTCTCGAAAGGATGGGCATCGATCCAGATTCGCAGCCCGCCCACGGTTTCGGGCCTACAGTATTAAGAAACGCTATGCTGAAGACCATCGCCACAATCAACGAATTGATCGACGAAATCCCAGAGAGCACGATTCAGGCGGAAAACATCGACACTCGAAGCTTGCTCAACTTTGCTGTCACAGACGGCAAAAGCGTAATTTGCACCCGATACATAAGCAGCGCGACAGACGAAGCCGCGAGTCTCTATTACTCTTCAGGCACTGAATGGGGCACGAGGACATCGGCAGCAACCGACCGGAACTACCAAATGGAACGCCAAGATAAAGGCGCAGATATTGTACTTGTCGCAAGTGAACCGCTGACGTTTGAGAGAGGTACGTGTTGAGAATTCGGCAATATGGGGTTTGGGCTAGTGCTAATTGGAACAGAGAATTGGGTCAACGTTCCCACAAACTCGATCCTGACAATCCACAACCAAACTGTCATGGTTCATCCGATTATCGACAAGTACTATGATCGAAGCCCGTACCACGCCAGATCAAGCGCTTTTGTTCAGACGAAGGGACTCATGGCGAACGAGAAGATTTCGTCACTACTCAGCCCGGCAGCAACGTCGTTGCCGACCCCCGAGACTGCAAAAAAGAGTCTTGGGCCGACCATCCCTTTCACCGTTTCTCGCAACCACACCCCTGAGCCTACCAATGTTGGCAAATCTCGACCACACAGCCAACTTCACGAGGTATCAACCCCGGCAGACTCCAGGTCTATTATGACCATTTCGAGCGCGCAGACGAGCGCGCAGACGAGCACGTCAAAGCCTCCGGTTCAAGGAAATATCAAGGTGAAACGGGCGGCGCTAGAGCAGGCTCCCAGTAACGATAGCGATACAGACTCACTGCTGCCTGCGGAGGATCAGGCGCAGAGCAGGACAGAATTTGGCCATCCTAACAAGTTGTCGAGATTCTTCCCTGAGTTGACCATGACCTAGCAAGAGGGAACGAAACTTGCCCTGAGGAAACGACATCAATCAAATAATTCTACCAAACACCCACCTCGCTACGGTCCAGCCACCGTGACATGCGAACGCTTCCAAAAGCCGGCAAACCAGCCAGACAAACGGTTTAATCAATCATCATATTGATGGCGATGGTTGGTATGAGAAGATGCGATGTGAGATGGCTGCCTAAAGGGGCAGAAGGAGCGTGTAAAATCGAAACGAGGAGACATGTGCGCCTCATAGCTGCGTCCACTGTATTGGTACTATTTATGATTGCGGATGGGCGGGGCGTATTGGAGTTTGTTTCTGCACTTGTTGCCTACTTAGGTAGGGAACCCCTTTATCTAAGTAGAAGGAAGAAAGTCATCGAGAAAGCAAAATATCTATTGGCTCAGGCTGTGACGGGTCGTGGAAACGTACCGCCTTGCGTTGCTCGCTTTCCGGCCGGACCGTTACAAAGCATTCGAACTTCTTGAGATTGCAGCTCAGAATGCCGAACATGAAGTCCGATTTAACGCATAATGCATTTCGCCTATCACCTTGCTAGGGATCGAACGGGGCACGAGTAGTTTCGCTCCACACGGGTTGGACTACCCCAGAGACTCGGAGACTCAGACTAGTCCCTAAATCGCAGCCAAGCACGCCATCTCATGGGCCATCGATGTTGGATGATTGCTTTGTCTCTCTATGGCTTGAAAAGCTACGCCAACTGATATCTTGTAGCGCAGATGGATACTCTATATGCAGATTTTGCTGCCCGTTCAATTCCAGAATACCACGCTAGGATTTACAGTGCCTCAGGTTCGAGATCTCAAAAATGGGGGCAGAGTTTGAATCAGCTGATTCGGAATGGCAGGATCCATTGGCAGATGAAAGTGCTGTGACTTTGGGTCCAAGGTGACCCTATCTGCTGGGTCAGATCAATACCTTCAGACAGCAATCGAATCTTAAGTGCTTGCGAAGATCAACACTTCACGAAACGGTCGTCTCTTATCTTCCCTGGCGAAATCGCCAATAATGTAGTACCTAGGTTCCAGGTTGGCGGCGGGAACAAGCCGCTAGGGATCTTATCTCGAAACTGATAAAGCCACCACGGCCACTCTTCACCTCACCCTCCACCACTTACTTGGACTACATGTTCTGATGTGACCACCTCATATACTCGCCAGCATAGATCAGAGGAGCAGGGTCTCGTCAAACCGTATTCAAACAATCAGAAATGGCCTCGCCAAGATGCTTCTTCCTAGACCTACCTTGCGAGATTCGTCTCGACATCTATGCCCTTCTCCTTGTCCTCCACACTCCCCTGGATAAAGTCAGCCCATCCTCACCGCAAACATGGCTCCATCCCGCAATCCTCTCCGTCAACCGGCAAATCCACGCAGAGGGGACGCCCATACTCTATGGCAACAACATATTCCTCGCGCACGCCAAACTCCTCGCCTCCTTCCCGCGCCTGCGGCCATGGTACCCGCCTGTCCGGGAGCGCTCCGTGCTCCCGCGCATCCGCCGCTTCCATATCCGGCTGCGACTGGACTGCGACCTGGCGTTCGATGCTGCGGCCGCGACGGCGGCGTTCAGCGGCGTGGACGAGCTTGTCGTTGAGGTGTGGCAGGCTGCCTTCCAGAGTGCGGATCATGGTGCGCTGCGGGTGTTTGAGGGAGTCCGGGATGTCAAGACTGTCAGGGTCTATGGGAGCATCACGGGATTTGAGGACTACGTGGGCTGGCTTGAGGGCGTGATGCTCTACGACGGTGAAATCGAAGACGACAAAGACGCTGGTCCTGTCGGGACGATGCCGTCTTAAAGTCAAATCTCGTGAGTTTTATCGCATACTTTGGGGGTTCATGGTATTACAGCTTTCATCTCTGGGACTTCAGAGTTCTCGAAACAGCTGTGCAGCCGAGGTATTGTGCAACCAACAGGCACCTATGCATCCAGGAAGCTTCAGTGGAACGAGATTGAGTCTTTACATACTATCTGGATTCACCAGCTCATACAACGTCTATGAGGTTGAAGCTTTCACAGCTAGCACGCATCAACCATCCCGGGGGGGCTCCCTACTGTGGCGGTCGGGCTCTCGTCAATGGCGACATCACACCCCGCGGTGACAACACCCGACTCCACACCGCGCTCGCACCTGCTCCTCCACAGGTCCCCTGACGTCCAGCTATAGTGGATCACAGGGACAATTGGAATGGATGAGCTTCCAGCCCTCTACCACCTTGGGGCCCTTGGCTCCGCCTATCATAGCAACCTCGTTACCGGCCTCCTGGTCACTTGGGCCGCACCCCGCCGCCCAGAAGTGATTTCCCGCTGGGCTCTTTTTACGGTGCTGGTGGGGCCGCTGACCTCGGGACCGCTGGCCTGTCGGTACCTGCGCCGAAATAGCGCAGCGACGACGCTAACCCCCATACGGTCGGTCTCATGTCGCAATCCTGCGCACCTGGCGAACCATCTCATTTGCAACTTCTTGCGACCTTCCCCTCCAGTTGCAGCAGATCAAAACTCGCTCCTCCAGCACACGAAACCACAGACTGGAGGCTTTGCTGGTTGAATACCTCGACGAAAGGTTTCGGCGAGAAGGGAACGCAAGAAGGCTCACACAGCAGGATTCGGTCATCCCAATAGTTTCAACAAACTTCGGTCAATCTCGGTTTCAACAGCTACAGTCGAAATGGCGTTCGAATTCCTCCCATTCCTATCCGCCGTCTTTGGCTGGGTCTACTTCCTCTGCTGGTCCGGCTCTTTCTACCCGCAGCCTCTCCTTAACTATCACCGGAAAACCACGGCCGGCACAACGGTTGACTTTCCCTTGATCAACTGCCTAGGTAAGAAGAACTGGCCAGAACACCACGTAGAACACGGGGCGGGCAATCTACAAGGCACAACGCTGACAAGGAACTTTTCCCGCAGGCTTCCTCGCCTACTTCGTCTCGAACGCCGCATTCTACTACTCCCCCGTCGTCCGCGCCCAGTACGCCGCGCGCAACCACGGCCTTACCCCGACAGTCGCCTTCAACGACATCACCTTTGCCGCCCACGCCCTCCTCCTCTCCTGCATCACCACCTCGCAGTACGTCCCCAAACTCTGGGGCTTCACCCCCGCGCCGGGCACGAACCCGAGCCGCTTCATCTCGGGCATCGCCTCGGGCTGCATCGTGGGCGTCGCCGTCGTCGGCCTCATCGTCGCGTCCGCCCCGGGCGACGGCGACCCCGTCACGAGCTGGTGTGCCCTCGACGTCGTCTACGCCGTCTCTTACGTCAAGCTCGTCATCACCCTCATCAAGTACACCCCGCAGGTCATTACAAACTACCGCAACAAGTCCACAAAGGGCTGGTCCATCTGGCAGATCCTGCTCGACTTCTCCGGCGGCCTCCTCTCTGTCGCGCAGCAGGCAATCGACTCGTACCTGCAGCGCGACTGGTCCGGCATCACCGGTAACCCCGTCAAGTTTGCGCTGGGTAATGTTTCCATGGTCTACGACTTGGTCTTTATGACCCAGCACTACATCTTGTACCGCGGCTCTGACGGCAAGGCCGACGAGAGAGATTCGCTTCTCCGTGTGGACGATGAGGAGCATCAAAGACTAGACTAGAGTAGAGTAGACTCGTTGTACATGTACATATATACTTATCTTTATCCACTACGCCTACGGGAAATGGATGCCTCGTTGACATCAGGCATGACAGGTTGGCATTATGACTACGTGACTGTACATCTCAAGCCATCTGAAGACGTTCAAGGTAGTCTAAGAAGAAACTCTAGTAATTCCAAGAACTATATCACTACGGTCTGTTTCTTACACATTGTATCCATGATTTACGACTCTTGAGTTTTGACACAACTATACCGTCTCACGTTACAGTAACACAAAAGAGGAACTTCTTTCAAAGGGAGAAGAAAAAAGGCTTCTACAAAACACAAAATGAACAAAACTGAAAAAAGTGAAATGGAGGAATTGCCTCGAATCCCTTTGTATGCCTGCCCTTGAACGCCGTCGGGGGGATATGCAAGTCTCTCACAACCTCCACCTCTCTGCCGGAATCGAAGAGAAAGCCTCCCTCACCCAGCTTCTTCTTGAATGACTCGCTTTGAGAAGGGTCGTTCGTCATCGCTGTCTTTGATTCATTCTTCTAGAACTTTTGTATTCCCCAGCCGTATATGCGATTCCGTCCCATTTGTGACTCTGGGTTCTTTGTTTCTCATCCAGACAAGCACGAAGGCTCTCTCTGGCTATTCAAATCCGATCCAACCGCTCATGAAGAGGTGTTTCCGTTCGTCTGCATGAAGGCAGGAAGCTTCTTCCAACTCTCCTGGTTAGGAACCTTGACCTTTCCAAAGTCCTCGTCAATGTCCAAGATGATCTTAAGGGCGTTACGGCTGCGGGCAAAGGGGCTGGTGTCGAGCTTCTCCTTCAGGGTAGAGATGGCGTCGCCAACACCAGTGTGAACCTTGGAGCTCTCAGCCTTGCCGGGATAGGGGACGACGTTCTGCAGAACTTCGTAGGCGGCGAGGGTGAAACCGAACTGCGGGGAAGAACGGAAGATTCTGGCAGGGCCGCCCTTGAAGAAGGCGCGGAAGCCCTCCTCTTGCCAGATAGTCTTGGCGGCATGGCGGAGACCTGTGTAGGTGGCCTCGCCCTTGCGAGCCTCGACCTGGAGACGAGTCTTGATGACATCGCAGGGTGTGGTGAGGTAGGCAGCGGGCATACCAGCAATGGCACCAGCAGTAAGCAGCTGGACGACACCCAGCTTCTTAGTCGGAGACTCGCCAAAGAGATCCTTCTTCAAGTGGCTGTAAGTAGGGAAGTAGATGGCCGAGAAGGGAACATCACGCAACAAGCACGCGGAGGCACCCTTGTAGAGACCAACGAGACCCAAGTTGCGCACAATCCACATAGCCGACCTCTTAGGGGCACCCTCGACCGTCTTGGCGACCTCACCCTGGACCTGAAGACGAATCTTGACAATCTCGAGGGGGTTGGTAAAGACCTGTGAAACACATTGTTAGCTTTCGTCATACTCTTTCATCTCACACTAGACTGCAGTGAAGGAGGGTGTGTACTTACAACTTGACATGCACCAGCAGTACCACCAGCAAGGATTTCATGGCCAGTCCAGATCTTGCCCTCCTTGTTGGTGAAGTACGTACGCACAAGGTCGTTCACCGTCAGCTTGATGGCCTTCTCTGGCGCAACACCGATAAGCTGGGGCACAACACCCGAGTAGAGGCCTCGGGGTCCCTCGTTTCTCCACACCTTCTGGAAGCAATCGATCGAGTTCTTATACAATCTTTCTCCAGGTCTGGCGCTTCTCTGGTTCTGCAGGCGGGTCTTGACAAGGTCAATGGGGTAGACCATGAACGCTCCGAAAGCACCTGCCAAACTACCCAGACCAAAGTTGTATGCGGATTCGAGAATCGACGAGAGAATAGCCTTGGAAGCTCCTGCGCTCTGGGCGAGAACTCGCGAAGCAGCATCGTCGGCCTCGTAGGCGGCGTTTCTCCATGATGGGTCGAGGACCTTGGCAAAGTCACCGAGGCCAAGGCGACCAGAGGGCTCGTCGAGGCTGGCAAAGTGGAAGAGGATGTCGGCTTCCATGGGGGTGAAGAGGGAGAAGCGGGTGATCTTAGCAGCCTGGTTGAGGAATTCGGTCCTCGTAATCTTGCCGTCGGAGCTCTTGGCGCAAGCGCGGCGCACAATAAGCTCAACCAGATCAATCTCCTTAATCATGTTCTGGAAGGCGCGAACGTTTGCGTAGGAAACCTTGCTTCCGAGCGAGATGTTGCAAAGAGTCGACAGGTTCTCGAGAAGGTGGTCAGAGAGCTTGTGCTTGGAAGTCTCGCGAATAATGCGCTCAAAGTCCTCGGGGTCAATGAATCCATCGCCATCCTTGTCGAACAGCTGGAAAGCTTGACGAATGCGCTCGCCCTGCAGACCACGCAGCATCTGGGAGAATTGAGGGTAGTCCATGTGGTGGCGCTTCTTCTTGCTACCGATGTACAACTTGGCCCACTCGCACTCCCAGTCAAAGGGGATGCTGTCGGGGCCCTTGTTGAGCTCATAGAGCTTTCGGAAGTCCTCATACTTGACATTGCCGGTTCTGTCAACGTCGAAGAGGCGGAAGGCGATCTCGTACTCGGCGTCGGGCTTGATCAGGAGGTTCTCGAAAGCGGCCCACTCGGAGAGGGTGATCTTGCCGGAACCCTTGCGGTCGGCGATGCCGAAGAGAATGCCGTACTGCTCCCGCTTGATTTTGTGCTGTGGCGTTGGGTTGTAGAGTCAGTAAAATGGATCGCGTGGTTCATTGGAGGGATATCGGAGCTGATTTGTGCTCCCGCAGTAGAGACAAGTCGGAGGAGCAGAAAGCAAAGTAAAAGTGAAAAAATCGGACTTACGAAGTCTTCATCCTCGGGCGCAACAGCCTTGGTGAACTCGTCAGGGCCCATGAAGAGGTCTCCTGACACCTCATCCTTGACAGCATTGGCAACGAATCTCGCCTTTGTCTGCGCAGACAGCTGGACGGGCTCCTCGGCGCCAAGGAGGCTCTCCTTGACAGCCTCCTTGACGGCAGCTGCTTTGCTCATCTTGGGGCGGCTTCTGCAATTGAGGTTGTGTGGAGGGCGGAAGCTTTGTTGAAGTGCAGGCGCACAGGAGAAATGGTTCGAGCTATCGCTTCCTGGGCCCTGTGTAGGAGAAGAGGAGAAGGGGAGAAGGTGCGCTCGGTGAGGTGAGGTGACTGTGGCCCTCGAGTGGATTGTGGGTTGAGTGGACCTGAATGCTTTTGCCGCTTGCGCGACGGAGTCTGGTGGCAGGTGCGGACGCGATGAGATTGGCCTTTAGCCGACGTGGGCCTAGCTGGGGATGGGGAAAGAGCCGTTGGCACTTGTGCTTCCCTCTCCAGTATTGGTCCTTGCTGGTCTTACGGTATTATGACCTGAATATTACAAGGGGGACAGATGGGAGTGGGCAGAGCAGACAAGGAGCAGAAGAAGGGGGAAGGAGCGAAGGGTAAAAGGCGAGATTGGGACTGGGAAAGAACCAGGCCGGCAGAAGGGGGTCCAATCTGGGGAAGTTCGTCACACACGAAGCAGGAAAAGGCTTTCTTGCTGCAGCCGGGAACTAGTGACAGTACTTTTTTCTTTTTTGGGTGTTGCACACGGCAAAGAGGCAGAATGCAGAGAACCTTGGAATGTGGGAGAGATGGACTAGACGTAAGTCCCTATGTACGGATACGGATACCTTGGATAACCTAGGTAGACGTACCACGGGTTCCTTATGACGAAGTCAGATGGATCGCATCAGGTCAGAGACATACAGGAAGAGACAGAGGTATCAGAGACAAGGCCAGAAACAGCGGGAGAACCTGAGTCAATTCCAAGGTTGGTGCCCGTTTTTCGGAATCGCCAGCCATCTGGCGTAATTTTTTTTCTCCTTCCACGCGGGAGTCAGGAACACGCGCCGGATCATTGTTGACCGCTTGGAGAACCCATGTAGATTGGTCCGATAAAGACTTGCGATAAGATACAAGCAGGGGTTATCGCCGATTGTATCCCGGGAGTACCTAGGAGCCTTGGCTGATGAAGGAGAGCGCCATCGAACATCGAACTGCGGCCTGCCACATGCACATGCAGACACCAGCCGGGACGCACATGTGCACCACTTGCGCTGCACCGTCCGCGTGCTTGCTTAAGCTCGCTCTCGGGGTCCTGACCGCCTCGGCCACTGTCGTAGCTGCCGCCGTCCCGAGTCTTCACTCTCTGCAGAGCTATAGCCTCGAACTCTGTCCAACCTTCTCTTTCCCATTCCTCCTTTTTCTTTTGGTATGTCTCCCAAATCAATGGTCCAAGGTTTTTAAGCCCTGCATGATTGTGTCGTTTTCAAGTTCTTGTCAAAGTTTGACTGACACAACGAAGCATGTATGAAGCTGTTCTACATATCCCTTACGCGAGATATACAGTAATACATGAGGACGTAGAGCAAGCTGCGGTGAAGTGCGGTTTGCGCAAATGATCATGATTGGACCATCTGATCACTTCAATCTATCTTTTGCTCCCACATGAATTCGGACGCGACCGGGACATTTGACACAAACGACGGGGACCAGGATGAGAGAGCCAACGAGCCCGTTCCTCCGATTGCCATCGATTCGTGCGCATAAACCTCGGACAAGTGGATCCCGGACCCGCTCCGAACTTGCCGACAGCCAGACAAAAGTCGAATCTCTGAATCTTGGATTCGACCGCGACGGACGTGCGCTTAACCACACGGTTATGACTGAATTGGCTGCTGAAGGGTGGGCCTTTGTGGTAAGACTTACCTATTCAATCCTTCCGGGGACTCTCGCTTTTTTTTCTCCTGCCGCGCTCCTCCTGAATGCATGGCAATTCTCCGTCTATTCGTACAGCGCGGACCGCGGTAGGTCTAGGCGCCTCCAATCCCCCATCCCCAAATACTCCAACAAAACGTGGGGGGGGAAATCCCCCTAGCCTTGGATAAGATCTGGAGGCTATGTATAGACAATAGGTAGGTAGGCTCAGAGTAGGACCCTTTGCAGGAAGGTTCCACGGAAACCCAATGCCGAGGGCTCGGAGCAGTTCAGTTCGTTGACCTCCCTTTCTCCGAGCCGCTCAAATATGCTACCGCAGTTTCACTTCGATACACGCGCACCAACGGAGCAGTGTGCAAGTGCGTAGGCTCTTTCCATTCAGAACGTAAGGCGACGTCAATCCTTCAAGGAAGAGACCTCGATTCGAGGCCGTCTGCTGCATAATAGTGAACCAAGCCTGGAGCTTCCCACGATCCCAGCTCCCTTCGCCCTATTTGTACTCCAGCCCTGCTTTACTCGTTCGAGTTCCGAGGCTCCTGGTTCCTGCCAATGACCCATCGCCGCCTCGCGAATTGACTTCTATGTCTGTTCAGAACGGCCGAGCGGCCCCGATAAACCCCACGCAGTCACCAAACCCCACGCCATCCCCAGCCTGCCCGCTCATGCGCACGCCGTCTCCATCCTGCAAATACATCCTGTCTTGACCAGTGGACGTTTTCCACCCGACCTTACCGCCCTTGGTCATCTCAAGCAAACATCCGTGCTCGTCATCGCCGGCTCCTGACACCGTCCCCGTTGCCAAAACATCGCCAGTATTGAGGTTGCACCCATTGATCGTCTGCTGGGCCACGAGGTCGCGGAATGTCCAGTACATCCAGCTGAGCTGCGCCTTGCAGACCGTCGTAGACCCTTCGTCCGTCAATACTTCAGCTTTCAGGGAGATGTTGTAACTCGATTTCTCCTTGTTGTCCAATAAGTATGGCTGTGCGGGTATATCCTTCGGAGGCGGTTGTGTTGCATAGGGTTCGAGTGCTTCAGGTGTGATCACTTTAACAAGATTCGCTATTAGCAAGTATCCTTTCAATCCCGAGACAGAGGAACGTCCGACTTACCCCAGGGACTAATCGACGTCCCGAATGACTTGCCATTCATTGGCCCCAACGGACTCATCTCGAATCCTTGGATATCGCGAGCTTTTTCCGTTAGTTCTACATGGACGGCTTCCAAGGAGAGTTGAAGGCGGGGTTGCTACTCACCGCTCCAGTCGTTCAGTAGAACGAAACCAAAGATATGCTCGTCGGCATCCGTCACAGCCACGCGGTCTCCAAGCTGCGTCGGCTTCCCAATAATGCAAGCCACCTCGAGCTCGTAATCGAGTGCCCTGGAGGGACCGAAACCAATACTGTCCCCGTCACGATACTGCCCATACGGCCGCGTGATATTCGTCCCCGAGAGAACGATCGAAGAAGGCCGGCCACTATAGCCGATGGGGAGGTATGGTGCTGCGGGTGGCATGGAGGCCTTGCCCATGACTGCCTCTGACGCGTTCAAGAGATGTTCTTTGGAGCAGGAGAAATCGGTGAAGCCATCTACTTTGATTGGCAGGTGTAACTGGATCTCGTCGATCGGTACGCCATGTTTCCACAGCGTCGGTTCGTCGGACAGTGCTTGTTGGATGTTCCTTCGGAGGGCCTTGACCTCGATCTTCTCTACGGCCGCCAAGGCGTTGAGGGTTGGCTTCGGTGCTGTTAGCATTCACAAGCGGTTTGGATGAATAAAACGCCAGACCTGAGACAAAGCGGACTTGATGTCGGTGGACGTCTCGAGATTTAGGTCAGAGATGAAGATGACCGAGTCCCCTACTCTTGTGACTACGCTTTTTGCATGGTTCGCATTACTGGCGATTCCATACGGAATGTTGGCAAGGGAGAAGTGCTCAGAGAAACTCATGATGACAGAGACAATGGGATCAACGAATGGCCTTCTGAGGTTTTGGTTGAGCTACAGAGGTGTTCTGCTCGCATCACAGCAGGTTGCATTTCTTTTACACGTCCGTATGAAGCTCTGAGCTCAATCATTGTTTGCTGATTACCATAATCCTATCCTATCCGCCCCCGCTCTCCCCCTCCCCCACCCCCGCCCCCACCCCCACCGGCCCCGGGTTTTAACCCCGGCCCACCTACGTGAGAAGCTCGGATTGGCGACTCGGAGCCCAAACATAACTTGCCAGCTCGGCAAAGCTCATGATAGAAAGTAAGACACACCGGCATCAGAAATGTGTCGCTAGTTTGATATTACTCTACTTCTGAGGAATCACGGGCAAAGTGACATAATTCTCAAGGCCTTGGCCAAAATGGATATTGTTCAATCCAGCAAATTTGGAGGCAGGCCTGGGGAGAGAGGTTGTTAGCATACAGTACTCGGGCAAAATAGTTGAGCATCTTTGAACTTACCGGTCAACTTCAGAGCAGTGCTGGAAGATTCCGTTGCCTTGTGTGTCGCCGCTGCTAACCTCGAAAACGATCTTACCACCCTTGTCTACGACAACATTTGTCGGCCAGACTTCAACGTCCACGCTGTAGACCTCCCCAGCCTTGACTGGCAGTACGTCTGTAGAGAGGTACTCCCTATGCGGCAACCAGGACTTGTGCTTGGGGCTCTCATCGTGAACCTTGCGATTGCTCACTCTCAGCCAGCCCTTGACGAGCGGCACGGGATCGCCGGCTGTTCCCGTGTAAAAGACTTCCTGGCCCGATGGGTCAATGTGACGCAGGGTCACGAATAAGTCGATATCGGTTTCGTTTCCAGAGTTTTCGGGCGTCACTGAGACGTTGAGGTGGGCTGTGACGTGGCCTGTGATCTCCGTCTCTTGCTCAAAGGGAGCGGATGTGAAGGAAACCACTTGGGGGTTCTCCAGGGAACCCAGGGCCTTGTACGAGACTGTCTTGGAATCCTGGCCGGAGCCATTTGTCGTCAGACCAAGGTCGGGCGTCAGGTAGAGGTTGGTATACTCTGTGCGTGGGATCGGCCAAGCCGTCTCTTCTCTCTTGGGATACGCCTTCTCCTTCTCGGCGTCGTTGAATCCAACGTTGCCCTTTCGCAAAGTGAGCGTCACGGGAGACACTTTGCCAGGCGAGCTCCAGCCTACCCTGTCCTCGCCCTTCAAAAAGGCATCGAGGAAACTCTTTTGCAGCTCTACTTCCTCTGGGTAGTAGAAGGGGAGGTCGTGACGGCCAGTGATGAAACGCAGGTACTTGAGCTGAGATCCTGCCCCGAGGTAACCCTGTACGTTGCCTCTCAGGTGAAGAAGGATGCCACCCCAGTTGGCTACGCTCAGAACAGGGACCTCAATGTCCTCGAGCTTGTACTCTTTGCTTGCGTAATAGTCATCGTCGCGGAAGCGGTTGGCCTCGTTGTCCTTTGTCTGGTCCTGGCGATTGGCTACCAGGACCTCTTCCGGTAGATCACCCTCGATTGTATCCTCTTGACCCCGGGCTCCAGGACCATCGGGAGGGAAGTCCAGCTTAGATCGATCCTTCCTACCATATTGGTTGACTAGTACCTGGCGGTTCCACCAGACGCCAATAAACTTGTTGGCGTAGATGCCGCCGTGACGGCAGCGGTCGCGGTAGTAATCGGACATGCCCTCCCAGGGGATGATTGCTGCAAGACCCTTGGGTCGCCGAGCGGCTACGCGCCATTGAGAACCTGCAGAACTGATGAGTAAGTGGTTTCATGAAAGGATATGAGAAGAGAGGACAACGCACCAGCGTAATACGAGATACCCAACAGACCGACTTTGCCGTTAGACCAGGACTGATCTGCAGCCCACTCGACAACGTCAAAGAAGCACTCGCTTGTGCCACGGCTCATGGTATCCAGTAGTCCCGGGCTCTGACCTAGGCCTCGTTCGTCGGCGCGAACAATGGCATAGCCCTGGCTCGTCCAGAAAACCGGATCGGGCGTTTCCCAGGCCGAGTACTTGGATCTCTGGTCCGGGGCGACCTCGCTGAAGGACTTGGGGTGGAACTTGGCGTAGGGGATATCTTTGCCATACGGTCCGTATGTCACCAGCACAGGGTAGCGTGCGGCCTTGTCCGAAGAGAGCGGGAGATAGACGTTTGCGCGGATGGGGAGCGGCGAGTCCTTGAGTGGGATCGAGACGTTCTTCATGAAGGTGAGGCCATTTTCCTGGTCCTCGGTGACCTCGAGCAGGTCTTTGATGGGAGGGGTCTTGACGGACATGATGGTTGAAGCTCAATGGTTACCTCAGTGTCTCAGGTTGGCGGTTATTGGCGTTCAGTGGAAGCAGTCTTAAGTCTTAGAGGGGCTTTCCTGGGTTTTATTTCGACGGGGTGGGCGGGGGTGGGCAGTTGAACTCTTTCACCGACGATGGCATGAATGGAGCGGATGATGCAAGATGTTTCAAAGATTGGACCTTCCTCCACACGTCAATCCAGATACTTCGGGTGTTACGCTCTCCCGTCGCCTTACTCCTCATCACCGCCGCCGCCTCCGTCGTGTATAGCGTTTGTTGCGCACGGGCGGAACGGTGGGGGAGGGGCTGACCCCAACGGGCGGAGTTAGGTAGCACGGTGTTGTTTCTACCTTGCCTCGGTACGGACTAGGTATTTGTATTGTGATCCCTTATGGTAGCCTGTAGGTAGGTAAGGTAGAGAGATGGTGCTCGTTGCATATGCCAAATCACCTGCCACAGGCTAGCATGCGAGGGAGTCAACCAGAGAGCAATTTTTGTTTTTATTTCAATTTATGGCATCTTGGAGAAGAAGAAGATGATGACTAGCTGTTATTGAAAATATTGTACGAATACAGAGCAAATGCTATCCGCCACCATCATTATGTATCCATGATCACACTGCTCACTGAGGATCTCATCCAAAAGATCAGATCTCACCACCGACCTTGCACCTGAAATAATCCTTATTCACTCTTTCACCCGTAGATCTCCAGAGCCAGTTGGTTACCTGATGGACTCATGTTAGCGTGCTCACCTTCACCCTTACGACTTGCGCTGCGACTCATGGATGGGCATTTCACTCACCCCTTGAAGCCAACACCCATTGAACATGACATATACAAAAGCCGACTCGATGCCATTTGAACCCCACGGCCTGTCTGCTATATCCATATTCGCGTTCGCCGGTCTGTACGGAGGGACCTGACGATGCTGGTCGTACCAGCCGGGCGGGTTCACTGCTGCTGGCGATGGCGCGTCCGCATTGCCTCTCGCGAAGGCTTCTTCGACCCCTCCAGTGAGACGAATCTGATAATCGTGGAGGTAGTCTCGTTGGATCGTCGTCGTGACGGGGTTTTCTGTGACAGTTGCCGACATTGTGATTTGCTTACTATTTTCGCGTATGTGAGTGATGAGAGGATGAAGCAGCAAAACCTATCGAAGCCTAGACAACTTCAACAAGAAATGGCAGAGATGGTCTTTGAGAATTGGAGATGCCCATCTCAGAAATCCGACACAAGGAGGCAGGGCACCGCTTCAATATGCCGACCGTCGACCCGACCTTCCCCACGGACCGACCCGCGCCACCCGATCAACCTTGAACCTATGAATACGCCTGCGTCGGAAGTGCGGAGAGACCCATGAGACCTGTGGCAAGCGTCGGTTTGGGGGCTGCCGCCTATCAGATCCCAGTCAAACCGCAAGCAACGAAAGTTGAGAAACGCCCAGCACCCCTGTCCTCCACATTCCGCCCCTCCAACAAGCCGGGGCCTAGCTCAAACGAAGGTTACGGTCCGCGGACACATGTTTGAGCTACCGAGTTCATCGGATCTGCCCACGAGTCCAATATGGGCTTCCGCATAGCGAGCTGAGGTCATGCAGATAGCACGGTCGCGCTTCATATCGTATCAACATTCCATCACTACACATTCAACTCTTCGCTGTAATTGAGCCGCTCCATCCTCCTGTCTACGAGTGTTTGTTTTTCTTGACCTCCTCCAGAACATCGCCACAATGAATCCTGCCGTAGAGAAGCTGCTCGTAACGCTCGTCGACGGGCGCGCCGAAGTCATTCGCTTCCGCCAGGATAACCTCATCAGCCTACACAACGAACTACGCAAAGAGTCCGCGGCCCTGACTGCCGCCCAGGAGAAGGACACCGGCGCATCAAAGACAGAGATCGAGGCCGAGCACTTCCTCGCGCTGGAAACCGTTCGGCACTTTTACGAGTCTCTCAACTTCTCGAAAGAACTCGAAGCTGAATATCTAGTTGCCCACGGCAAGGACAACACGAGCAGAAGAACCGGTGCTGGGCTGGTGATCATTCGGCCGACCACTTACACCAGGCTCTTCTCCATTCTGAGTCCACTTGCTGCAGCCTTGGCCGCTGGCTCTGTCGTTGTTCTTGAGGTACGCCCTGATCACTCGCAACATCGAGTCATCTGTGTTAGAAGCTGACAAGAAGGCCTACAGCTCGAAGACACTTTGTCGCAGCTGGATTCCGTCCTCCGCGGCGTCCTCACGCGCGCCCTCAATCAGAATGCCTTCTGCATCACCAAGAAGATCACAGACGAAACATTGCTGTCACAAGCAATCCTAGTAGACCAAACCAACACAGCGCCCCCGAAAGCTGGCCGCGCAAATCATCTCGTTTCCGCAAATGGCGCCCGCGCCGTCGCTATCGTCGATCGAACAGCTGACATAGAGGCTGCTGCCAAGGCCATTACGGCGGCGCGCTTCAGCTTCGGCGGCCAGTCGCCCTACGCGCCAGACTTGGTCCTCGTCAATGAGTTTGTCAAGAAGGAGTTCTTTGAGGCATGCTCAAAGTACGCCTCACTCGCCTTTGCGCGTGAGACTACAGTGAAGCGTGCGAGTGACAGTGCCAGCGACGAGACGAGGAGGGCAGTGCAAGAGGCTGAGGATAAGAGACTCGCTTCAAGCTTTGGGTCCAAGGACTTTAAGCTGGTTGACATACAAGACAAGTAAGTTGAGATCGCACTCCCTTGAAGTTGACGAAGAGGCTTATTCAGTCAGGAATGCTTCCCTCTTGAAGATCAAGATCAATGGGCGTTTTCTGCCTATCACGACCTCTTCTGGTCTTGTAGACTCTATCTATACCCACGAGTTCGAGTGAGTCAAAATTCATCAATCACATAAAGGCTTTCTGCTAACTTGACTAGGAACCCTCTCTTAGCCGCCTACCTCTTTGCCAGCCCAGATTCAGCAAAGTACCTCTCCCAATTCCTCCCTGCCCACGTCTCCGTCATCAACCAGATCCCCTCAAACCTCCTCCTCGGCCCGGCAGCACCGCTCTCTCACGAAGCAGCCTTCGACTTCCGCTATAGCAGGGAAATGTTCTCCGTAGCACGGCCGCAGTTCGTTGAGAAGCCCACCGGCGCGCTCGCGAAACTCGAGCAGCTCCTCACCAGCACTGGTGCCATCTCCGCCCAGAATCTGCATGCCTTGGCCGTCGCACCGCTGCGCCCGACAAACCAGCCGGGAAATAGTAGACTGGGTTTCTTCGAGCAAGGTCTCCTGCTGGGTGCCGGTCTGATCATGAGCGTTGTGCTTCCGAGTCTCGCATACGGCACATGGATTGGCGGACGGCGGGTGTTTGATTATGCGTTGAAGTTCAGGAAGTAAATCATAGTCATACGCCGGAGGAAAGTAGTAACGTTCAATGTGTATCATATACCTCAAATCCACATGCCTTCTTCTTTGTTATATTCAGTCTTCTCCCTAATTGTTGCCTTCGTACCCTGATAGTAGCCGACATGTCATGCCTCTGGCTAAGGTACATGAGGCTAATAGCTGTTCCAGAACTCACGTAACTTGATGATTCACTACAAACGGTACCTTAGAAAAGGGTAGTGCCATTGAGTGATTCAAGAACTGGAACACTGACCGAAGTTTTGCCGTGTCAAAGTCTCGTACTCCGTTCAAACCTCTTGCCTGACAACCAATATTCGGCAATTTCCCCCGGCTCGGGTTCGGCTCGGGAAGTGGGTTAACTGGCAAGTGCCCGCCGCCGGCCCCATCGGCCCCAGCTTTACCCCAGGTCTTGGTCCCGCTGTATCTCTAACACTCCAGCGCCTGCACTACCTACTCGAAGCTCGGGCAGGCCACCCATGGTGCTCAAGAATGGAACGTTTTGTCGCCGTCCTCAGACCAGTTTCCGCAAATGGGGCCGTTTGACTTGACTTCCTAGTCAGACGGTAAACTTGTGACCTATCCTCCACCAGCCGAATACTTTACACTATTGAAAGATAACCATCTCAGTATCTTAAGTCTCGTCAGCTTCCAAGGACTGGATCAACTTTGGCCTGTTGTTATTTCCCGTGAACATATTCTGCTACGTAGATATCCCATCATTCACTTGCCTTACTTCGATCAGCTCGACAGACAAGTTGAAACGTACATAGCTCAGTCACATCATGGCGGTAGGAAGCAAAGATGAGGGGCCTATGAACCCTGTGTTCCTCTTCGCACACGGGTCAACGATGATGCTCGGCGAGGAGAGCAACTCGGCCTCGTACTGGAAGAAGTGCGGCGACGAAGCTCTCGCTCAGGGCATCGAGCACATCGTCATGATGGTAAGCAACCTTCTCTCCCATTCCATCTTATCCAAACATCACCCACCTATCACACGAGAGCAATACAACTCACAATTACCGCCAGGGAGCCCACTGGGCCACAAACGCCCCCAGCGAGATCCTCATCTCAGCCCACCCCACGCCCGCAAAGTCACCAGTCGCCTACGTGAACCCCCAGAAATACCACCCCTACAAACTCAACCCAGACCTCGACTACATCCCCACGATCCAACAACACCTCACCGCCGCCGGCATCCCCTCCAAGACAGACCCGACCTTTGACTGGATCCACGACACCTACCTCGTCCTCATCCGCATGTTCCCCGCCGGCTGCCCGCCAACAACCCTCATCTCCATGAACGACTTCTACGACCCGCACTTCCACGTCGCCGTCGGCGCCGCCCTCAGGCCCCTGAGAGCCGCCAAGCACAAGACGCTCTTCATCGGCTCCGGCGGCTCCGTCCATAACCTCTACCGGAACAACTGGGCGCCCATGCTCAAGTTCCGCGACAACTTTGCGCAGCCTAACCCCCCGGAGCCATGGGCGCTGGACTTCCGCCAAGAGGTCATTGATACCTTTTGCCCTGCGTACGAGGAGGACGTCCCCATCGACCAGGCCGTCTACGGCAAGGCCATCCGCGGCAAGAAGCCGTGCGGCGGGCCGCTTTTGAGGCGCAAGGTGACGAGCTTGATGAAGCATCCCATGTACCGCGAGGCGCATGCCACGGATGATCATTTCATGGCCACCATGTTCATCGGAGGCTTGTGTGGAGGCCGGGGCGATGAAGCAATGAAGGCTGAAATGAGAGCTGAGGATTGGGAACTTACAAACATGTGCAACTCACAGTTCATTGTCGGTAGCTGGCCAGAGGCCAAGTGAGTGAGCCAAGAGGTGGATGAAATTGCGAAATGCTTTTTGATGGTATATGATACAATATGACGTACTATCCTGTGAGGTCAAGACCTCGTCGTTGATCGTTTCTAATTCCAAGTATACCAATGAATTCCTGCTGCCCGTCTACTGTTTCAAGAGAACATACTCCCGTGCTAAGATAGGTCCATATTGTCCCATTGGAAATCGTCGCCAGCGCCGAGGCCACTGAATAGATCGTCGGCACCGAGATCGAGTGACCCTCCACCGTTGGTCGATGAGCCCCCGAGGCCCAGATCACCGCCGACACCTAAGCCTAGATCGAGACTGACATTGTCCACAGACATTCCGTCGCCTTGCGCAACATTGGCAGCCGCGGCAGCCATGGCATCATCGAGTGAACCTGCGCCAGCGTCTAGGCCCAGACCAAGATCAGTCTGCAGCATCGTGTCTGCTTGGATGACCTCGGCCTGGGACACGGCCATCTGAGTCTCTACCTTGCGGTACAGCCTTACAACAATCTCGGCTAGGTTCATGTCGACCTTTTGCAGCTTTTTACATTCCTCGGCGTCTGACTTCAGCACCTCTCGTAGAGTAAGCTTCCTCTGAACGGGGGCCGGTACATTGCCTGAATTGTCGATAAAGTTGATCGGGTTCGACGGCGTGTTCACCACATCTGGCGCGCAGACTAATGCTGTCGCCACATCGTAAATGATGCTCCCACTGCCTGTTTCTGTTTGCTGTCTGATGTCTTCGTAGAGGAGCTGCAGCAGACGCTTTGCACCAAGAAGTTTCATCGCTACCAGCATCTGTCGATGGGTGTACGCGGGAGGCATCCTGTCCATTGTTGGGTGAATGCTCCACTGCACCAATTGCTGCAGCGTCTGCCGGATAGAATTAGAGAACCCTCCCATTGACCAAGCATCCAGCTCTTGGTGTTCGGCCGCCCCCGTTCTCCTGGAGAGTGGGATACTATCTTTGATTGCTTTCAAAAGTGGCTCAACCTCTTGGCTTTTTGGGTCTGATCGTTGATATGCCCTGAGGGAATGCTCCAATGGCTTAGCAACTATGTTCATCACAGAAGAGAGCATGGCTTGCGCCTCATTGGATATAGACGTTGGCGCCAAAACAGAGTTGAGTACCCTGACAATCGCCTTTTGGCAGTCAGAACGCTCAACCCACAAGGAGTTGGCAAGAGAAGTGATGGCTACGACGAGGGATGGGAGAAGGAACGTATCGACAAGATCTGTAAATGTATTAGCGCAGTTCTTAGCTGGAGACTCCCGAAGTTCCTACATTCAATGCCTCCTCTGAGACTCTCTTCAGTTAAGTGTCCTGTACTGAACGCCAGAACGATATTATGGAACAGAGTCGATACGAGTAAGTAGAAGTCTTGAGGCGGGCAGGACGACATCAGCTCATCGCCCAGTCCGCCCGCTTCCGAGTCAAAGAGGCCGTGGATCCACCCATCCAAATGGCCCTTTTCTTGGTCTGATAGCTCTTCCAAGGACCGACTTTGGTGGCCGTGGCCGAGTAGTCTTGCCACGAAAGAGTCAGAGGATATGATGCCCATGTCTGATGCCGCGAGGCCGTAACGAAATGCGAAAGCCATGACGAGAAGCAGAATTGAGCCAAATTCCTCGTACACGGGTTGGTACTCTCCCTGGTCCTCGTCGTACTTCCAGTTGTCCAGAAGGTCGCACAAAGGGTGAAGAATCGTTGCAGGTTTCTCGAACATCAGCATGACATCAAGAGACAATGGCTTCTGCGCCAATTGGCTACACAATAGTTTCAGGGACATTGTCTCCTTATTCCTACAAAGCTGCCCCATCACCTGCTAAAGGTCAGCATTAAACTGCGTTGATAGGCACGGAAGACTTACTTCTGTTAAGGCTTGGCACACGGCGCCGGCGTTTCCTTCTTTACTGTCCAGCTCGCCAATCAGAGCCTGCATTCTCTCCGGATCTGCAAGGCATTCTGCGACGAGGTTTTCTTTGACGTATCTCCCGCCTGCTGGAAGTGACGAATAGGGTGTTTCTCCAAGTAGAGTCTCAATGCTGCTTTCCCGCAATAGACCATGGAGACAGCAAGCCCAGCAAAAGTCTTCTCGAACTGAGTCTGTGAACGGGTTGTTACTTCTAGTTTCATCGAACATTGATGACAGAGTGGGAAAGGTGGTCGTGTCGACGCGGCTGAGAGCTTCTGTGATGCAGTACTCTGCATTCACCGGGCCGTACATATGCTTGCTCAGGCTTTCAATCAGAATCGGCAGTTTGTTCATGAGGAATGAGCGCAAGAGATGTGCCGCTTGATTCCCTTCATTGCGGGAGGCAGCATTGGCAAGTATGTCGAAAGAGACCAGGATGAGGTCAACAGTTGTTGATTGTACATCGCCCTGTAGACGTCAGATGGTGTGCGCATGATGTCTGCACAAACACACACAACAGAGAAAACTTACCTGGTATCTATTATTCAAGTAGTTGAAGATGGCTAGATCGTCGATCAATGGCCTGCCAACTAGCTATTGCGCCCCTTGTCAGCATCTCTACCAATGTGCGGTTTCAGGCAACTTACTGCAGCATTCAAGTATATGTAAAGACCAGCTCTCGAATTGACTATCGGTAGTTCAGACACTACGAAGTTCTCCAGTGCTACCGTAGAGTCGAACAAGTCCTCGATCTCGGCATTCGACTTGTTCTTCTGCTCGTCGACTGGCTCAAAGCCTGCTAACGTACTTGTCCGGAACATATCGAGACGGGTCGCGATAGGGCCAGCACTTTGCATGATGGTTGGTACAAAGTTGGCGAGGCTTTCGGACAATGCCTTTCTGATTTCTTGTCCAAGATTAGCCAAACGCGGAGTCATTGTAGCAGTACCTATGCACCTACCTTGGGCTTCGGGTTTACTCAAAGCCTTGAGAACAACCTGGTTTTCGCACACTCCGAGAAGCAAAGCTACAAATGCGGCACGCGCCGATTCCATCTCTTCCCTCACCTGACTGTTGTGAAGCTGCCCCATGACATCGACCGTGAAGGCTGTGGCGGCGTCTGTGAAGAGCGCAATCCACTTGGCCATGACGTTGGCAATCTCAAGACCCGTCCCTGTGTTTTGTATTGCGGTCCCTTGCGCTACAGACTTGGTAAGTCTATAGAACATGACCTCCTCGGCCGCATACGAGCTCTCCCATCGCGGGGAATTTGATGTTTGGTTTTCGGCATTAGGCAACTGTGCAGCTTCTCGGGAGTGTCCACGAGAGGTCGAGTACTTGTACAAAGCTTTAAGGATCGAAGGCGTATCGATATAGTTCAGGCTCGAGAGGACCTGGAGGTAGCGTGGGACTCGGGGGTCGAGGCTCTCGTGATTGTGAGGTTGCGGTCGCAAGAAGAGGTCGGCGACGGCAACTGGCGGCAACGGGTGCTTTGCTTGGAGAAATGGAACATAGGATTCGAACTTCTCGGGATCTATGCGGTGGGCCAGACTCTTTGCTATGAATTCGGACCATTGCTCAAGTGCGGCGCGCTGGACGGCTCGTACTACGCGACCGTCCATGTTGGCAGTAGAGTTGCGGGCAGATTTGAGGTCGTCGCTATAGTCGAGTAAGATGCTAGGCGGATTAAGCCGGGCTCTTTGATCTCGCCCAGGTGGTTTGTACGAGCATACTTCTGCACTTGCTTGAGGCGATGCACAGCTGGGTAAGGATCGGTGGTTTCAGTGATGATGTGTTCTGGGAAAGTTGGGGCGCATGTGCGACTGGCTTGGACAAGCTGGGTGGTAGTTTCTCGATGTTTGGTCGCGCTGCCGTTCGCTAAAGTAACTTCCATTATCTTATCCACTGCGGAGTGTATCCGCACCTTGGGGGCCCATGCCTAAGGTAAGTATCCAGCAAGGTAGCTATAAGGTACTTAGGTACCTAAGCATGCTGAGGTAAGTTTCGTAGGTCGCCAGGCACGGATACCCTAGATGCCACTAATGCATTCCCTGCATCTTACTGAACATGATGATTAAACACGGATCACACAGCCCGAGATCCCATTGTAGGAGCTAGTTTTGCCCTTTTGTCGCTGGAATGGCAACTATCTGTCACGCATCTGAGGATCTATCGACAATCACACTACGCTCACCGGGTGAGTTGGCATGACACGCGTTCGCTGTTCATGAATTTGACGTTGATTTCCGTTACTGACCGCTAGTGCGGAAAGTTGACTATGAACGCTGTGAGCCAGTTACCACTTGGTTCTGGGAGCAATTCGTGTGGCTTTCAGGCCTGTCTCCCGAGTTGAGATGCACTAGCATCAATCAGCTCGTCTCCTTACAGGTGCGGTCTCCGCGGCGAGATTTTGTGCCATATGGCCAGTATCTCCCACGGTGCGCAAGTCCGCCTGAGTGGCCAGGTTTGGCTTTCATGACGAGCCAGATCCCGGCCTACAGCTCTGAAGCGGCGAGGCGGCAGATCTGTCACCCGTGCCAACTGAACCTCGTCATTCGTTCTTTGGCCCGTGTCCACCGCCTTTTCTCTTCCTCTCCTAGGCTGGAGCTTTGAAGCTACCAAAGGACCTGTCCTCTCCTCACCGGGAATGTCTTTCAATCGTTTCCATCAAGCCATATTAGAGAACGCCGATTGCACGTGTTGTGTGTATGTGTGGGGGGTGTAGTAAAACTGTCAGCCTAGCAAGATGCGTAATGCGTCGCTGACAAAAAGGGCATGGGTGACGATAGGTGCTGTGGATTGGGGAATATGGGGTTGATTGGGTGTTGATCCAATGTTGGCAAGTTGCTGAACCAGCAAACGGAATTTTCGAAGGTCGCTGGCAATTTGGTACTTTACATGTCCATCGAATCGCCGCCATTGGCGAAGCTGAAGCCACCTTGCTGGGGAGCGGCGTTGGTGCCGAATCCAAATGTACCGTTGGGACCGGTGCCCTGGGCCATGCCCTCGTCCGCGTTCTCCTCCTCATCAGAGAAGTACTTCTCGATGATGTTGTACGCCTTCATGTAAATCTCCTCGTTGGCGTTGGTCTGGCAATCGTGGATCTTCTCCATGCCACCGCACTCCTCGATAAACAAAGCGTAGCGGTTGACAGAGTCGGGTCCCTCGCCTGCGGCCTGCTTGTCCAGGTCGCCGACCTTGAGGATATTTTCCAAGCCGTCGAGAGCAACCTGGATGATCTTGTTGTCGGGGCAAGCCAAGAGATCGCACAAAGGCTTGATGCAACCCTGAGCGACCAGGTAGCGGATTTGCTCCGGCTTTTGCAGGCCTCCTGAGGTCGCGTTGCTGATAGCCCAACAGGCCTCCTTGCGAGTCTTCAGGTCGCCGTTCGACAGGAGGTGGATGAGAGGGGGGATGATGTTGGCGTCAATAACCGACTGGATCTGGGCGGAGTTTCCAGCGGTGATGTTGCTGATTGTCCAGCAAGCCTCCTTGCGGATGCCATCCTTGTTGGAGCTGAGAAGCGAGAGGAGGCAGGGCAGAGAACCACAGTTGATGATCACCTGGGTCTGAACATCGTCGCCAGTAACGATGTTACCAACCGAGCGGAGAGCGGGTGTCTGGACGGAGGTGGAGGCATGCATGAGAAGCTCGACAAGGCGGCGGGGAATACCAGCCTCGATGACGGCCTGAATCTTGTCGTTGGATCCGTCGGACAGGTATGAGATGGCCCAGCAGGCGTCGATCAGAACCTCGTCGTCAAGGGAGTAGACAAGCTTAGAAAGCACAGGGAGAGCGGGGGCAATCTGTGGGCATGGTCAGCGATGGTCTGACAGGCGCGAAGACACAAAAAAAATAAAAATATCACTTACAGTGTTCCAGTCGGGCTGAGGGGTCTTGCCTCTGCAGAAGTTGCTGAGCGTCCAGGTAGCGTTGCGGAGCATACTAAGCTTGCGGCTGTCTCCGAGAAGGGCCAAGAGAGGCTTCAAGGCACCGCAGCTGAGGACGTAATCGCGGCAGTGAGGGCTGTCACCGGCGATGTTGCCCAGGGCCCAAACAGCCTGCTCACGCACATCGGGCTCAGGGCTAGCCAAGAGCTCGACGAAGATGGGGACTGCACCAGCCTCGATGACAACCTGAGTCTGCGTGGCGGAACCGGAAGCGATGTTGGTCAAAGCCCAGGCGGCCTCGAATTGAACGAGAGTATGAGGCGATCGGAGGAACTCTACGAAGCGGCTGACGACGCCGGTCTTGATGACCTCTTCGATAGGAGGGTTGCGCTCCTTGGACAACAGCTTTCGGAACTTGGTAGTCGCTTGGATCTGGAGGTCGATCTGGTCTGAGAAGACGCCCTGGACCATCTGGGGGAGATCCTCATTGAGCTAGGAATGGTTAGCATAGTTGCTTTGAATGAGTAGAGGAGCTATAGCTTGTAATGAGGCAGCTTGTAATGAGGCAGAGTTCGACTCGAGCTCTTCGCGCAAGCTTGAGGCTGCAGAGACTCAAAGAGGCACCGACTCGCGCAAAAAGGGAAGTGGGGCAGCGGCAAGGCGCCCTGGCAACAGGAGGGGGAGGAAATAAGACGAAGGGTGCAACAGTATTGGCGGGGTTCAAACAAAGAAGAATCGAAGAGCGGAAAGTCGCAATAACATGGCAAAACTCACCTGGGATTCAGTAGGAGCGGTGTCATCATCGCTATCAGGAGCGGCTCCGAGGGAAGCGCCGGGTCTGTTTTCGCCAGAGCCAATACCACGACGCTTGGCCAAGTTCTCCTCTCTCTTCGCCTTGCGAATCTCGACCTGCTGCTCCTCTCTGCGACGACGAAGCTCCTCAGGCTTGAAGGTGCTCTTCGCCTTGAAGTTGGTACGGCGATGTTCGGGGATGTATCGATCAGCCATCTTTGCGGTTGCGTGGGTTGATGTGATTGTTGGATAGTGTTTTCTTGCCGACCGTCAGGAGGAGGGGGAAAAGGCAATGTTTGGTCGGCGGTCTGTCTGAGAAAGGCGTCAAGTGAAGAAGGGTCTCTGTCGAGATGGATCTTCTAGATGGTATCGCGCAAAAGTAGAAAGGAGGGTAGGAGTTGCGCGTGTTGGGAGAAAAATCCTGATATGGTTGTCAGGTCGCTGGGAGAAAAGTTGTGATGATGGGGGGGAAGATGAAGGAAACTGGGAGTCAGGGAGGGTGAAGCGAGAGAGCGGGTCGAAGAAATGGAAAGTGCAGGGCCCTGCCATAGCCCAATGGGGATGCGTGCGTACTGGTGACTTATGTCTTGCGCTGCCATATGGTTTGGATCTAGGTATACACTACTTTTCTTCTCTGGAAGGTGCCGGTGGCCGCAAGCGAACTTACTGATTTTTTATTTTTTTTGGCAGTGGCTCTTGTTGGAGGGGCCATCTCAATTTCAGCAGCAGTCGGGTGGCTACCTACTTTACCAGTGTCCCAGTGTGTCCGGGACAATAGGCAACCTCACTTCCACTGGGGAATTTTGGGTCGGTACGGATACCTACCATGCTACCTAGGTAAGGTCCCTGTTGGCCCGCTATCACTGGTACAAAGTTGGTTCCGCATCCATTCAATATCTGAGTCTGTAGCAAAGGGCTTAATTCAATAGAGAACCGAGTATCGTGGTATGAGATTATCACCCCACTTTGGCTTTTGACGGCGTTTTCTAGCCTGGTTTCCCAGGGGATTATGTCATTGATTGCTAGCAGAGTACTTGGGCCAACTTCTGACAGCGGCAGCCAGGTGTCTGTCTCCCAGCTGAGAGCCCAGGTCTGAGGTACCTGCCTTCACAGTAAGCAATTGAGACCAGCAAGTGCGCCTGCCCCTCCGGCGGTCAGGCTCGATACCTACGCACGGGTGCCTATCAGGCACGCCAGGTACCCAAGGTAGGCGGGCAACCCCAACCAAATGGAAGCAAACACAAGTGAGTACCCGCGTAAAGTGACTTTCCTTTTGGTGGGGCGCGACGCGCCTTTGAGATACAGCTCCTTGGGTGTAAGACGCGTCAAACGACCAGCAAATTCAAGTGCATCTACAACATGCCAAACGCAGAGTCGGACTTCTGGAAATCTTCAGTCGCCTCTGCGTGCCATCAAACGGCAAACGACGGTGTCTTCCATCTCACCTGCCTTTTCTAACCTTCATCCCTTCCTCCACTGGCACAGACAATGGCAGAGACCGAAGACAAAAAGGTCATGGATCTCCCCAAGGGCTTTACGTCCCTGAGCGACGTCCTTGACGAGAAGGTCCAACCTCTAAGTTTGGTGAATGTTATTGGTCTTGTCAAGGATTTTCGTCGTCCGACACCTACTAAGAAAAAAGGTGATGTGATCGAGTCCCTATATTTCCAGATCAAGCTAATGGCTCTTTAGACTACATATGTCAAATACGTCTTGTTGACTTGTCTCTATCGAATGAATCTCTGGGACGGGACGTGAACCTCGCAATCTTCCGCCTTCTGGATGGCATGCCCAATGTCAAAAGCAGCGATGTTATCGTTGCTCATCAAGTAAGGGTAAGTGACTGACTTGGCTTCTGAAGACTATTCAATTTACTGACGATTGGTCTAGGTTAATAGGTATCAGAGTGATCCCTTATCTCTGTTAGCTAATTTCACCACAACCCTCCACATCTATCCAGCAACAACAATACCCTCTCCACTTCAGCAAACGCCAGCCCCCTCAAAGCCATCCGCCACGGACAAAAAACGAATCCCAGCACCGGTAGAGGGGGAGTATGTCTCTTGGCTGTTCCACAACATCGACAAGACCGATGTCCCAGAACCTGAAGTGTTTGAAATTCAAGCCAATCAATCGCTCAATATAAAGCAAAAGCTGTGCGAGTTGAAAGATGTTCGAGACGGCAAGTTCCATGATCTCATCGTCCGGGTCGTCAGAGATCCATACGACTCCGGGGACAAGGTGACATTGTACGTTTCGGATTACACAGAGAATTCTGGCTTCTTTCACTACACCAACAAACGCCTGGACACTGGTGGTGGTCGAGATGGCGACCCATACGGCTACACCCATGGCAAGACTCGGAAACCCGACTCGTCTCTCCAGTGGGAAGGGCCTTTTGGCAAGCAAACCATGCAAATCACTTGCTGGAATCCACATGCCACTGTCATCCGAGAGAGAACCAAAAAGGACGATTGGGTTCGTTTGTCCAATGTCCAGATCAAATATGGATCCAACGGGAAGAACCTGGAGGGATTCCTTCGAGAAGATGGGAACGCATTCAAAAACAAGATCTGTGTCGATAAGTTAGATGCGCCGACAGAAGGAGAGTCTATGGATCCCTACGTCAAAAATGCCCTCAGAAGGAAGCGGGACTACGAGAAACAGCTCAAGGCTGAGTCCGAAGAAACGAAGCCCACAAAGGGAGCGAGTAACAAAAGGCAGTCAGCAGACCAGCCAGAGGAGAAACGTCTGAATACCAAGCAACAGCGAGCATTGAGACGAAGTAAAGCTGCAGAGAAGGAGATGGAAGCCGAGAAAGGGGTGGGCGAAGACAAAGAAATTGAAACACCGCCAGACCTCAACAGTCAAGTGGTTTGCGAGAACCACGATGAGCCGGCCGTGGACGTGGCTGCCATCCTCGAACCAGCCACACAGGAGTTTATCTTCCAAAACGCGCCCCTGACCGTCAAACTTCCCTTCCACAACGCACAGTACCGGACCAATGTTCGCGTAGTCGACTTTCACCCTCCCAGGATACAGGATTTCGCTTGTATCCGCAAGCAAAGCGAATACGACGCTCTGTCCGACTTTTCTGGTACAGACTCGGAGGATGATGACGATGACGACGAAGAAGGGCATGTGACCATTGATAAGTATGTGGGCACGAGCAAGCATACTTGGGAGTGGCGCTTTGCTCTATGTCTCCAGGATGCCACCGTAGCTAAGGATCCAAAGACGCAAGGGAAGAAGACGAACAGATTCTGGGTTGTGGTGGATAACATGGACGCCCAGCTCCTGACGAACCTCGACGCGTGCGACTTCCACACTAACCCGGACGTTTTGACCCAGCTGCGTGAGAAAATGTTCATTCTCTGGGGAGACCTCGAAGAGAAGAAGACCAAGAAAGTGGCCGAGCAAGGCAAGAAGCAAAAGGCCAACGTGGGAAAGAAGAAGAAGACCAACGACCGACCCCCTGATTCCGAGGACGAGGACGCGGGCGCGGGCGCGGCTCCCAAGATGGAAAATGAGGTCATCTCGAACCGACCCTTCACCTGCTGTATACGCCAGTATGGCATCCAAGTCAAGGAGTCAGACACCGAGAAGGCAGATGCAGGGTCAGGGAAGAAATGGCAGCGAATGTATGGACTCTTCGGAACCAAAATATGCGGTTAAAAGCTAGTTGGCCAGGCACAGGATTTTACAGGAGTTTGAGGCATGGGATTACGAAGATTGATGACCAGGTTGCAGAGCAGCGGCCGTCACAGGCGTAAGGACTTGTAACAGAATGATTTATCCCTAATGAAATCGTGTCGTATTAGCTACTACAAGAGCTAATCAGTTGTCTTTTATCCCCGTTCTAACGCCTCGAGTCAAATGAGCCATCCCATCCTAGACAGGCGCTCCCGTTCGCCGTCCCACCACACCCAGCATTACCCTACTTGCAAGAGCGAGTCACAAAGACACCACCAAGCCTTCCTCGCCTCTAGCCATCCCGTAATTGAAGACCAAGCCAGACACAGACAAGCGCACGGGAGAAAAAGCGGAGGGTAGAGGGGGCGCTCGCAGCCAGTATCCTTGTATAAACAGCAAAAGAACGTCAAAGATGTAAGCCGTGGTTTAATCCTCCCGCAGTCAGAAAAAGTTGATTTAGTCGCCCAGTACATCGTCGTCGTCATTAGTAGCAGGAGGCTCCTCCACGTCAGGTTCCTCTTCCTCCTCCTCCTCGAGCAGTTCCCGCCGTCGTAGATCCTCTTTTGAGCCCTCTTCCGGCTCAGGCTCCTCTACCGCTTCTTCCTCTTCCTCATCGTCATCATCGTCGACGATAATCTCCTCGCTGATGGCGGGCTTTGCAGCAGCGGACCTTGTCGATGCCGCCTTGGACTTCTGCAACTTCTTGCCATACAGGTGATCCCGGACCTTTTTGGGGTCAAGGTACGCAACCACCTCACTGAAGTTCTTACCGAGCCTGCTCTGGTTTCGTAGAAGTCGCTTGTGGAGTTTGCCCGCGTGTGGACCTGATTGATCAAGGACCTTCTGGGCGATGGCGAGGACGTACTTGGCTGCCAATTCACATAGGGCCTTTTCGGATTTGAGCTCTTGAGCCAGCTTCTCTTCTTGCGTCAGGCCTTCATCTTCATCCTCCTCTTCGTCAGAATCATCATCATCCATTGGTTCTTCGTCTTCGGCTGGCTCGTTGAGAATCTTCTTCGTCCGCTTGGCAAATGTCTTCTCAACGCCGTCGTAGATTGAAATGAGCTCTGGCAGAAGCTTGGGCTCAAGCTCATGTGCCAATCTAGCAAGTTTTTTGTAGTTTGCGTTTCCGCGAGATTCTTCAGTCCAATTCCTCAACGAGCCGAAGAGCACGTGGATGTCGCAGAGAGCACCAGTAGCAAACATGCGGATATCGTCGATGATGGCTCGGGACGACAGAGTTTTGATCAGTCCAACGTCGTACCTCTTACGCAAGACAGAAACCTGATCAACCACAGAGTCGGGTATTTCGGTCTCGCTTTGAATGAGCTTCTGAAAGCTCCGCACCTTCCACATGAAGTAGAACTGGATCCCCTTGATGGCAAAGGAGACGACCTCATCCTCCAAGTCGTCGATGTCTTCGGTCTGTTGATCGAACGTGCCTCGGCCAACAATGTTCACCAGAAGCTCGATCGTGGATGACATTGAGTCGGCCGCGCGTCCTTCCGTTTCCAAGACTTCCATGCAGTCGGATATGCGAGCAAGCTCGCTGATCTTCATCAGCACTGTGGAAAGCGCCTTCAGATGGTCCTCTGCTAGATTGCCTCGCATAGACAGCTCGCAGGTCTTGTCGAAGCTGCGTAGGGTGTTGATGACGTTCTCCCACAGGACCGCAAGTTTCCCGTCGGTCAGCTCCTCAAGCTCATCATACTGACGAGAGTGAAGGAGAGCTGCGGCGGCCTCGGCAACAACTCTCTTATCATCGTGTCTGTTGAACTGAGTGCTGATCTCATCCAGTAGTTTTTCATACTTGGTCGAGTCTTGCCGTAAAGTTTGGAAAACCTCGAGGTCGAGGAAGTGCTCCATCCTGAGAACGATGGTGGCGGTGGCAGGGTCAGCGCCAAATTTGTTGAGAAGCTGAGGAATGACTGTTGCTAATTCCAAAGCGGTCTCCTCTTGCGCCTCGGTTACCTCTGGACGTCCACTCTTCTTTTTGTTCTTCTCAATCTCGAGGGATTGCAGCATCGACATCTTTACTGCGGATGCCAGAACCTCGAGCAAGATAGCTTCCTCGGTGCCCTGCGGCCCAACAGCCTTCTTAAAAGCAGTCTCGGTTGAAGCGCCATGTGACTTGGATTTCGACTTGGAACTGACTGTGTGGTCGTAAAGTAGGTAGCCTGCCAGCAGTTCCCATTGCTTCACATACGGCACCTTTTCGAAAAGGACCTGGGAGGCAAGAGAAATGCGCGTGTCTGGAACGTTCGCCTGGGTGACATCTGCGGCGGTAGCAAGACCTGTGCCATTGTCCTGCTGCTCGCCCTCGACTTGGGCATCAAATGCCGCGAGGTTCTCTGCTAGGCATTTGATGTTGACCCATGTGCTGCGAGGCGAGTCATAATCGTCCTCGTCGATTTCGCCAAACGTCTCCTCAAGCGCATCCTGCCCACCGAGCTCTTCCATCTTGCCTTCGATAGAATCTTCGACGCAAGAGATGAAAAAGTTGACAACCGCTTTTCTAATTCTTATGTCGCTATCAAAGATGAGTTTGCCGATTGAGTCAACTTCGTCTGGTTCGAGCATTCCGGTATCCCGTAGTACGTTTATGACAGAGATGGCAGCAACACGGACAGAGACCTCAGCGTCCTTGGTGGAGATCTCGATGAGACGAGGCCGGAACCGATCAATGAAGTGGCCCAGCTGTTGCACGTCACGTCTAAAGATGCGCGCCAATTGCCTGAGTACTTCTTGTCGGGTAGAAGCGACGGTGTCTGACAGCATCCAGCCGAGATAACGGAGGTACTCGGGCTGCATGAAAACAGTGGAAAGACCAATGATCCAAGATCCCAAGGACTCGACACACTCCGTCCTGATACGCGGGTCGATATCTCGGTATCTGTGAATGAAGGTGGTGTCGAAAAAGTCTTTGATGTGATTACCACACAACTCTCTGTTATCGTTGGCCTCGTCGAGGGTACGTTGCATTTCTGCCAGCTTCGCCTTATTCTTGCCCCTCTTGGCTTGCGCAACTTGTTGCTCGATCGCAGTGATTCGGGAGTCGAGTGTGTTTGCGACATCGATAAGGCCGTAGACCAGGGAGAGGATGACAGTTGTCGCAGTATGACGGAACGGGCGAAGTGAAGACGTCGACATGGATGCTATCCAACGGACGAGGTTCTCCATCAAGGTGGCGTCGTTGTACAGGACATCTGTTTCGTGGACACTGCGAACAACGCCCCGGAAAAATCCAGTGAGGAGGTCACGGAAAGCCTTGGTGTTCTTCGCCCTGGAAATGAGGGGGTACTCAGTTACTTGCTCCTGTGCTTAGTTAGCTCGTTGATCCGCGGAACACGATTTTCTTGTGTATTTGTACGGGCACATGCCTCTTGGAACAGATCTTGAAGCTCGGTTAGTCGAGCCTGACAATTATCAGGGTCGCGAATATCGTCTTCAGTGACCTCGAGATCGCAGCCGGAACACTGGAGTACAAGGTTGACAAGCTCCACGACAGCAAGGGCATCATTGGCTTGATATCTGGTCTGCCACTTATCCGCAACCTCGTCCGAGGGCAGTCCCGAACCGAAAACGTCGGCTATAGACGTGTCAGATGATAGATTCGGCGAATGGATTCCGGGGTAGCGACTTACCATACAGGCCCTCGGCTTGCCTGTCGGCGGTGGCAATCCTGACGGATTTCTTGGGCCGTGATGGAAGGCTTGCGGAATGACCAGACGGTGCTACACCATTGGTCTTTGGTTTCTTGATTGCGGGCTTCTTTACGCGACTCCCTTGCGATGCGCCTGATCGCTTCTTGGGTCTGGCGCGGGGCCGTTCTTCGTCACTATCGGCAGCATCGCTCATGGTAGCATCGGACAGAATGTCATCGTCGTCGTTTCCTTCATCGTCATCATCGTGTCTTTTGCGCTTGGGTGCGGTGACTGGCTCCGGGCTAAACTTTTCGGGGGCTCGCACGACGCGTCCAGATCGACGACGCGACGACTCGGGTTCGGGGGAAGCTGTCGCGCTCTCCATGATGTCGCGTAAAGGCAATATTGGGTATCGTCTGAATGGCTACAGGTAATCGCAGCAATGGCGACAATTATTTCGCGCCGATGAGCGAAGATCCGGAGGGGTGGCGCATATGAGGAAAATTGTCGCGTTGAGTAAGTGCGTTTACGTCGAAGATGTTTAGGTGACGGGCTCTCCAAATTCGCGAGTGGCAGACGGACACGGACGGGTTGGGGTGTGGTGGATCGAAGCGCTGGTCCCTGCCTTGGTGCTGTGCGTTGGATGGTGCAGCTGATTGGCGAATGAGCAATGGCCGCCTGACACGGAAGGAACGACGAGACCACACACACCTAAACTGGAAGTCACCTCAGGTATGAGGTAATATGGCCGGATACCTCCTACTTTCTTAGGGTAATCTAGGTACCTACCTAGATATACTGAGTACCTCTGGCGCGCTCACCCATCAGAGAATGCATACACCTTGATGCAACATAACAAGGTCACTGCTGGCTCATCTAGATTCCCTTTATAAGCTTTACATGATGCAAAGACATTGTGATATACGGGTAAGTTGGTTGGATGTCACTCGATTAAGAGTGGAAGAATGCAAGCAACAGTTTTCGAGGCATCAATGCTAGACCGTTCTAGGTCCACGTTCCGTGGCGTGAGAGATCAGGTTTGACATCAGAGTACCTCATAGGTACTCTAAGTATACATTCACCCTTCTAGGTTCTCGAATCAAGTAGTCTTTATAGGGACTGCAAGTCGATAAAAACACTAATGTTGGTTATCAGAAGCGTCACTCAGATGAATTGTAGTTCAAAGAGTGTTGCATCCTGATGGCTGCTCGAGCATTTAAAGGACGGGTTAGAAGCGTGAGCTCACGGGGCGCCGGCGGCAGCACAGTGCATGTTAAATAACTCGCGGCCACACTGGGTATCTACCTTACCTTAGACATCAATCAGACCCTCCCGTCGTGCAAACATGGCATACTCGAGTTGATTTTTGGCAATGTCAATTTGTACCAAAAACAGGATATCGCAGTCTGTTCATAATCGACTCACATTTTAACCAAAGTTTCGGTACGTGACCTCAGAAGTTGATCGTTTCATAAGATTCAAATCTAATTCTCGCAGCAGACGAAGAGCAACGTTGACGATTGAGCATGGCTTGTCAAATTTACCCCTGATACATCTCAACTCAACTCAATTGCAACCCATGCCAGCGAAACAACGATGGAGTCTCCGTTTCCCAAGTCATATTCGGTAGCCGGCGAGGGCGAGATCGTAGCCCAGCTCTTGCCCAACGGCCTGTCAGGTCTCAAGGGAATGTCATACCAGTACCCTCTGAAACTCATCTCTCCGACACCAGCAGCCGACCAGAAAAGCGTTCTAGTGTTTCTGTTATCCTACGGTGGCGGACTTGTTGGGGGCGACAGCGTCAATCTCTCTATCCGCACTCTGCCGGGATCAAAACTCAGTGTTGTCACACAGGGTCATACAAAGATTTTCAAGTCTGCGTCTCCCGACATCGTTACACGCCAAACGCTGAGTGTTCATATAGAAGACGGTTCCGGCATCTGCCAGTTGCCAGATCCAGTCCAGCCATTTGATGGAAGCGTTTACGAGCAGACTCAGATATTCACAGTGGCTCCCAACGCGTCCCTGTGTCTACTAGACTGGGTGACCCAAGGCAGAACGGCGCGCGGTGAGGACTGGAGCTTTGTCAAATGGACAGGACGGAATGAAATCTGGCTGGAAAAAGAAACGCCCGGCCAAAAGAACCGTTTGCTGGTGCGAGACACAGTCATCTTGGACAGAGACAGCCAAGTCCTAGTAGGGAGATCGCTACGAGACTCTATGCATGGAAACGGCCTCTTTGGAACTTTGATCTTGAGAGGGCCCCAGATGCAGACATTAGGCAACTTCTTCCTCGAGGAGTTTGGTGCTTTACCACGTATTGGCGCAAGGGACTTCAGATCAGCTGAGGCGAAAGCGAAGGAAGAAAGCAACTTGACTGAGCATGAACTATGGAGGCTGAAACGTATAGAGATGGAGAAGAAGGATGAAATCTTGTGGTCGGCAGCGAGGGTCCGGGGATGTGTCATTGTGAAGTTTGGAGCAAGTACGGTTGAGGCTGGTCGGCTATGGATTGGGATCATGCTGAGTCGAGAAGGCACAGTTGCCAGAGTATATGGGGAGCCATCGCTGATGTGTGTAAAATGAAGTCTTGGAATTGGGTAAATGAGGTGTGCCTTCTTCTCGATCATTGAGTAGAAATGCCGGGATTAGTACAAATAAATAAGACGTCTCTTCTGGGTTTGGTTGGTCATTTGAAACTCATTATTGCTTGAGTCAAATCTGGCTTAAATGCTTTACAGAAATTTAGGTAATGCATATCTTCTGTTCAAGGCCAGTGAGCGGTGCGCACCAAAGTTGCGTCGCATTGAATCTGTGCTTGAATGCGGGGTGAAATCAACCCCACCACCCGGGTGTGCAATACAGCGGGACAAGGACGGTGCTACAAGGGGCAGCAGGTCCCGTCGACGTTTTGTCCCCCACCACGCTGAGGTAATCGGACATCTTTTTCTCTGGGCGGCATCTGTGACTCTCCCACCAGAAACCACCAGGCAACTTTCTTTACTCTGCCATTGTCGCATACCCAACCCGAAAATACGGCAACACTCAGTGCCCAATCACAAGAACGACAAAGCAGATTATATTCAATTCGTTGTTCACATCTCAGTACCGTCAGTCACCATGCCAGAGGGAGCGCCCCCGGCTCGAGGCGCCGGTAGGGGTCGAGGCCGAGGGAGAGGCAGAGGAAGAGGAGCTGCCAGCAGCGCCACACCAAGCGCCGAGGGACCGGCTTCGACTTCCAGGCCAGCTTCAGCTTCGGCAACAGCTGCGCCTTCCAGAATCGCAACACCCAACCCTCCCGCGGCGCGGGGCACTTCAGCCAGCAGATTTCGCCCCAGAGTGGTGCGTAGAGATGAGGCGGCGCGAGATGCAATTGCAAGACAAGAGCTAGAGAAGGACAATACGAGGGCAAAGGCAGAAGCTCGCGCACAAGCCCGCTCTCGGGGTCGCAGTCGGCGAGCTCGTGGTGATGCCATGGGCAGGGGTGGTTTCATGTCGCGAGCTGCGGTTGCTAGTGGCCCGTTCTCGCAAATGACAACAGAGGGTAGGTTGATGAAGGGATTCACTCAATCGGTCTTCTTGAACTAACACTTGTCTAGGAGGCGGCAGATCCGGCGGAGGATGGGGCGGCGGTGGTGGTGGAGGAGGCGGCGGCGGAGGGTTCTTTGGCGGCGGCGGTGGCGGCGGCGGCGGCCGAAAGAGAGAGGGTGGCGCCTTTGGAGAGGCTTCGGGCCATCGCGAAGCACGAATCAACGCCGATAGACTCGCCGGATATCCTGTCGACCGCGAGCCCGACTCTGACGATGAAGAGACGGCGGCCCTCATTGGCGCAAAGCCTGGTAATATCTGGCCCATGGGTATCGCCCGTATCGACAAGAAAGAAGAGAAGAAGACGATTGCAACCTCGGCCGAACTTGAGGCAGAAGAACAGGGCAAGGCTGAAGAGAGCCTCTTCGTTGAAGGAGAAGAAGAAGGATGGTCCGGCGCTATTCCCCCGATGGAAGACGAGACCAAAGTCTGGCATGCGGCACCCAAGGGTGTGATTCAGGTCAAGGCAGAACCTGGCGGCGAACCAGGTGCCATGGACATTGCGCCGGTCGACTTCAACGCGCACGTCAAGTCCGCAACCCCCGAGGTCGAGGAGGATAAGGTCACCCCTGAACCGAAGACGAAGAAGACAATGGCCGACCCCGAGGTGGAGATGATCACACACGACATGGAGCTTCTGCTGGGCGAATTGGGCACCGTCACGGACGAGAATTCAAAGGCACCCGAGACTGAGGTTGCGAGCAAGGACGGACGACTGTACCTCTTCCAGTTCCCGCCCTTACTGCCACCACTGCAACCTGCAACTGCACCTAAGGTCAAGCCAGAGCCCGACGATGTTGTCATGCTTGACCGGCCGGGCGAGGCTGTCGACCTCACACAGGCGGAAGAGAACGCTCAACCCAAGGTCGAGGAAGCCGATATTGACCTGACGGACATCAACCAGTTGGTCTCCCAAGCTGGAATGATGGGAAAGCTCAAGGTCCGCAAATCTGGAAAGGTCGAGCTGGATTGGGGCGGAAGAACACTCGAACTCAGCCCAGCTGCGGGCATGAACTTCTTGACTACGGCTGTGATTGTGGAGGAGTCGGACGAAAAGGCGAAGCAAGGTGTTCCCGGTGGAGACAGTATTGGCATGGGCAAGATCATGGGCCGATTTGTTCTCGCGCCGACTTGGGGTGACGAGGAAGAGTGGACGGTTGATCCAGAGGATCTTGTTGTTCCTGAAGCGTAGGGCTGACAGCAGCAGCACTTACAAGACTCGGGAAGAGAGGATAGGATTCGTCACTGTTCGCTAATTTACCCCGCCAGCGATCCAGTGTCAACAGATCGGACGGGGGAAAACATTAGCCGCATGTGGATTTAGCCCCAAGTCTTGTTTGGGAGGTATTGAAAGGATAGACAAAAAAAAGAGATACCCTAGGCTAATCACATTACCTCAGTTCGGACTGCTCTCAAATGGGACGAACTCGAGGGACGGCGCCGTCCCGTCGGTCTTCCCCACACTCCGCATATGAGACCGTCCGTGAACACCAACCCCCAAGACGCGGTGGCGGCGCTTATTATGTCTGCGATATGTCATCGCGATTTTGGGAATGACCACTTCCTTGTGCCCAGCTTTATTTGAAGGTCTGGTCAACTGGCGATGGACATAAGAGACTAATGCGACTTGGCTGGTTTGATCAGTAAAGCAGCAATCATCCATCGGCCCAACTCATAATCTCCCACTATCCAGCATGGAGAGGCACACTCAGAACAGCTCCAGCGATGGCATCCATGTGATAATCATCGGTGCCGGTCTCGCAGGTCTGGCAACGGCTCTCTCAACGAAACTCGCGAACCCCTCTCACCGCGTGACGATCCTCGAGGCAGTCAAGGAGCTCCAGGAAGTCGGTGTAAGTCCTCTCGTCCTCCTCTCACACCAACCCTTCCACGCATCAGCACTACTCAGCTCAAAACTTCGTTGAACTTACAAGATACATAGGCCGGCCTCCAACTCACACCAAACGCGACCCGTCTCCTCGAAGCCTGGGGTCTCTTCCCAGCCCTCACCCCCCTGGCGACCGTTCCCTCAACCCTCTCCGTCCACCGCTACGACGGCACCCGCCTCCTCGCCCACGAACCGCACCTCCAGGAAACGATCCAATCCCGCTACGGCCATCCCTTCTGGGGCCTCCACCGCGTCGAACTCCAGCGCGCCCTGGTTGACCGCTGCACCGCCCTCGGTGTCGACATCCGCCTCGCCTCGCGCGTCCGCTCCGTAGCTTTTGCCAGCGCGACCGTGACTCTCGAGTCGGGGTCCGATTCATCTTCCTCTTCACACTCCTCGTCGTCGTCCTCTTCCACAGTCTCCGGCGATGTAGTAGTCTGCGCAGACGGAATGTGGTCCGCCACCCGCGCCCAATTCCTCGCCCGACCCTCGCCACCCTCCCTAACAGGCGATCTCGCCTTCCGCATCGCAATCCCAATCGACTCCCTCAAAGGCCCCCACAAAGCCGAGCTCGAGGCCTTTATACAATCCGAAACCGTACACTTCTGGATCGGGCCTCAGGGCCACGGCGTCTCGTACACCGTCAAGCAGGGCCGCATGCTCAACCTCGGCCTCCTCTCGCCCGATAACCTCCCCGAGGGTTCGACAAAGGTCCTCGGCGACGTGGAGGAGATGCGCGGCCTGTTCTCGAGCTGGGATCCACTGCTTCGTAAGCTGCTTGATCAGGTGGAGAGCGTTCACAAGTGGAAGCTCTGCTGGATCGAGCCGCTGGACGAGTGGGCGAGCAAGGACGGGAGGTTTTTCATGGCGGGGGATTGTTGTCACCCGATGCTGCCGTACCTCGCACAGGGCGCCAACTCGTCGCTTGAAGATGGCGCCGTGCTGGGTCACCTGCTCGGCAAAGTTGGCGGCCACGCGATGGAGACACAAACCGGGGAGACGGGGACTTCGAGTTCGGACTCGAGCGCCCAGCTCGCTGCCGCGGCGGCCATGTACCAGCGGCTTCGCATGTCGCGAGGCCAGCGCATCGTCATGGAATCTTTTGCGCAGCGCGATGACTTCCACATGCCCGACGGCCCCGAGCAGGAGCGCCGCGACGAGATCATGACGGCGTCGTTGGGGCCCGGGGAGGAGCCGCGGTCGGGGTTCCCTTCGCGATGGACGTGTCCTGATATCCAACGGTTTCTGTACTCGTATGATGCGTACGCGGAAGCGGAGGCGGCGTACAAACAGGATCCGTTCTAGGTGTCTTCAGATGGTCATTTTCTTGGAACATGAATGTTGTTATTCGAGCTCTCGTGACGAGAAGCTGTCACGCGCGCACTCAGCGCGTGGTTTGGTTTACATCCAGCATATACCAATGATCTATGAGCCAACCCCCTTGATTCTCCAAAGACCAAATGTATCCGGGTATAGGATGGCCAGAACATCCAAAGTCTATACTGGTCGTTCGAGCTCCGAGGCCGCGTGATAGCAGCTCCACGCCGTTCTCTTGCTCGAACGACATGCGCCCAAATATGCCTCCTGGGCACCCTTGAACGCCGTGAAACCACGAGGCAGACATAATCATATCGATACAATGGTCGGAATTTTCCCTAGTCACCATTATCTATCTCTTCTCCCTCCCCCAAGCCCGACTCGTCCACTATGCTGACTCTGCGCGTCGAGACCGTCGAGGTCAACCGAGGACACGCTCGGGGAGCCCAGCCTATCCCCCGTCCAGGTGTCGCTTGCTTTATCTCCTTCGATTACGTACATCTCGCTTTTCGTATTGCTATCCTGTCTCCGGTTCGGTGGTGCCATGAAGTCCGAGTCAAGTTGCCTCCTTGCCGTCTTCGAGCCGCCTTGCGCAAATGGCCCCGGGTATCCGAGCCGAGAATTCGGCCGCGGCATGGGCTGGTGTTTTCCTATCCCGCCGAGCTCCAGATCCGTGTCGATGCCGTCGATACTATCGGTGCCGTGGTCGCGGGGCGCTGAACGGGGCGCCGACCGCGCCGTCCCTGATCTCATTCCACCGCTGATATGTCCGCTCATACCCGGCGTTCGGTCGGTCGAAGTGAATCCGCTGAGTCGCCAAGCTCGGAGGAGCGGTCGGATGGTCACTAGACTAGAGGCCACGATGGCAACTCCAGGCTCGACTAAGGTCCATACCATGGCGTCGGTCCCCATAACTGCACTCGTGTTAGTTCGGTCCGAGGTTGACTTCTAGCTTTCGAGCCCGGAAAGAGGGTTCGGAAATGGGAAGATCGTACATAAGATATCGGTTAGATCGCTCAGGTCGGCCAAGAACTTGAGTCTAATGAGGGTTGCAATGCTGGCACTGGGTCTTGTCAGTTACCATCCTATCGGTCCGTCTCATTCCAGGTTCACTTACAAAATTCCCAAACCAAGAATGACGATGACAGTCGCCTTGGCTTGCTTGGTCATCTTAACGCTCCATATCATAGGGATAGGGAGCAGAGCCTAGACAAGGTTAGCATGTAACCAAAGGTGGTCGTAGGCGCATGACATAGGCAACTTACGTAGAGCCAATCGCTCAAAATCGTCATGACACTGATGGCGTAGGACGCGGCCACGACAGCGTCTGGCGTTACGCACTTTGAGTTGGGAATGTCATAATCCCATTGGGCTTCGACTGGCGAGCACTGGAATATATCCCAGAAGAATATGACCACACTCCATACAGTGATGACCGCCAGACTAACATAGATGATCCAGTTGTATAGCTTTGAGTTGGAGAGTCGCAGCAGGAAGAAACCAATGCTCAGCTTGATGAACAACATATCGAGCACATATGTGGCGGTAGCCAAGGCTTGGTACTATGCAACTTGGTTAGTGACAGTAGACAGTATAGTCCGCAGTAGAGCCAACAAACCATCAAAGCCGAGACCTCCCTCCATTGATCAAGGGCTTGGTTGTGGTGGCCGAGGCCATTATTAACGCCGAGGAGGATAAAGGAGCAAGAGATGGTGAATATGATCTAAAAGTTATAGTCAGTATAGCCATTGCATGCTCTGCCGAAGTGAAAACTCACCTGGGCGACCAGCATGAGCCAGTCATCGGCTTGGAAGCCTTTGGTCATGAAAGCTCGAACATAACATCTGAGGACGACGGAAAACCAAGAGAGAACAAGGAAAGCGATGGCAGTGGCTACGAGAGCACCACCATTGCTCTCTGATAAATCTACCTCGGCCATAGGGCTATGGTACCGAGATGCTCTAGGGAGTGACAATGTAGAGAGAGCATGGCCAAACGGGGGAAAAGAGAGAGCAAAGGAGCCTGGTAAGATGGTTACATGAGCGAGACAATGGGATATAAGCTGGTCAGGGTCGATGTACAGCACTCGAAACACCAGGGGCCCTTGTCTGAATAGACCAGAACCCAAGGGCTGGATTCCCAACTTCCCGAAGCGCGGATGAAAGAGGGTCGCCGAGTCTGAGACCCCGGAGATAACAAGGCAGGGTCGACATGTGGAGAGAGACCAGGATCTAACTAGGTCAGTTCAAACTCCAAAGCAGCCGCATGGATGATGATGGAATGTGAATTGGAGGCAGTGGACCAGCGAGGGCTGGCCGGACGGAAGTTTTTGCATCCTTCGACTGGTGCGGATTTGTGAAATAAGTCCCATAGTCCCTGACCGGGCTATGCTTGTTCATGAGAAGGAGGAGGAAAGGGGAATGCTCGTAAAGATGCATTAGGTAACAGACTAAGAAAGGTTACTGGGGGTACATGCCGGACAGTGGACTCGGTCTGGAGAGCATGTTCGAATCTGTGATGTATTACACTGCACAATATCTGTGGACTGAGTCAGCGGATGCAATTATTCGACGCCGTCTCACCTCCGAAGGTGATGAGGGTTGCAGTATGCAGAACAGACGCACGTCTATGGAGCCCGGGAGGTGGGAAGCAGGGAGGGTACCGGATTGTCAGAAAGCAACAACAAGATGAACATCTGTCCGTGTGTTTTGACACACGGGACCAAGTTTTGAGTTGGCCAGACCAGACCAGACGGAATGATTATAGTGTCGGCCGACGGCGGCAGGCGAAGAAGCGCAACTTGTTTGGGCGCGGGCAATATGCCCAAGACGAGAGAACGGGGCTGCAACGGGGCTGCAACGGGGCTGTAACGGGGCCACTGGGGGTCAACTCCAAACCTTCTGCAGTCTAAAGTGAAGTTGTGACCCTAGATATGCTCGATCTCCTAGGATTGTGTTGGAGCCAGCAAGTTTTAGCAAGAGGGACTTCCCAGGTCTGCCGGGCCATGACAAAACAGCGGCGTTCATATGTTGTATAGATGAAAATAGGGCCGCGTGGGTTTGACGTCGGGCAGTCCCCAGGTCTGGAGATTGCCCAAAGTGCCAAAGTGAAAAAGGCTTGCCGTCGGTGACAGGTTGAGGACCCGGCTCGGGAGAAGAACAGGGTGCCACGGTGCCTGCTAGGTTATTAGGCTCTTTGCACTTTTGAAGTTTGATGGCCGGGCCGCGAGGAAAAGGTGGGCATTTTCTGTGTAGGTACTCCGTAGATTGTATACCTTAGTTTATTCATGGAGTGGTTGAGTGGATTGCGAGGGGCTCCTGAGTGGAGTGTCAGAAGATGGCGTTCCTCGGCATCGACGATGAAATGTGACTAGAAAAAGGCGCTTGTTCTTGGCACATGTTATTCGGGACTGGCACAAACCAACCGTTTGCTGGCGTGTCTGGCATCTGGCTATGCAAGTTGAAGTTTGATGAAAAAGTAATTAGGAACGGATACACTACTGTGTAGAGTGTAGATTTGTGGAGGAGGCGTCGCCAGTCAGGCACAGACATTGCTTTAGAAGCAGAGCCAGAAGGATAAGGAGGAGGAGAAGAAGAAGAAGAAGAAGCAATAACGGCACCGGTCTTTCTCCATCCTCCTTCTCCTGGGTTCTTCTTTCCTCATGTCTGTGCCCTCGGCCCCCGTGGCTTGCAGACTGCATTTCTCTACCTGCTCCCATCCTTCTCCTTCTTCTCCCTCTCCCGCTCTTCCCCGTCCCGCGCATTCGCACCTGCTTGCTGCACCCTCGACCGAAATGAGGTGGTGGCCGTCGGCGTACCTTGCATGAGGTACCCAAGTACCTTGATCCCAAAGAACTGTGAAAGTCTAATGTACTTGCTTGCTTCGTCGCGGCGTTTTGCCTTGCTATCTCAGTACCTGTGTACGGAAACCTCGGTTAAAATGTCTAGACCAAAGTGGATGTCGAAACCCCCTGCAATCCTGCCACCAACATCAAGAGGGAAGGAGCGAATGCGCTCAAAAGCACAAGAGCCAATGCCATCCTAAACCCGGCTTACGGATGTGCAGAAAGGAACGAAGGATTAGACAGCGCTTGTATCCGTATTGACAACTTAAGTAATTAGCACATTGGTTATCTTACCTAGTCACAGGAAGCCATGCAAGTGTCGGCAAGAATACCATGACCAGATCGGGTCGGCTGGTCCTCTTCGTCTTAATGAACCTAACATCGGCGACAATGGGCGGGTGGGAACAAGCAGTACGCGCACGTCTATACGTAGACAGTAACAACGGGAAACACCATAGACCTTTCTCGCTTTCTCCCCGATACCCTATCATGGCATCAATCACCTATTCTGGCTGCGTGAGAGTGGGTTTACGGCTGTAGATACGGGACTTTTTCCACATTCGAAAGGGGCGTTTCAGTAGCTCTGCTTCTGCATGGCTCGCTACTGATGCTGGAGGGATTGCATTCCCAGTTGGAGATGCCGCATAGCCAAATCTACATAGCCCACAAAAATGCACCTGGGGCTGAATGGTCAATCAGGATGGATTCAGTGGTCTGATAGTCTTCGCTCCTCTGCTCATTCGTAGGTTCAGACAATATTAGTGTGTGCTTACATAAGCCAGCCGCCCAATATCACTTTGTCGACCAAATTCAACAAACTCAGACTTTTCTTTGGGGTAATCGGGGCGATAAGCCGGGTGAGAGCAGCCTGAAATCGATCCCAGACATAACGTTGTGACTTCAGAGCGTCTCTCATATAAGGCCAAACACTGGTTGCCAATGCTTCAATGCAACGTTGTTCCAACCAACACGTCCCGCTTCCCCCGGCACGCCTTACGAGTGTAGGATCAACATCCCTGCCGCCATTCCTCGGCTTGATGTCCAGTTCAGGTCGCTCTGGCTTCAACCAGGAGAGTATTTGAGACTTCGATCAGGACGACAATGTCTTTCTAACCATTTTACTCCGAAACGGCACCTCGCTCTCGTCATTACGACGGCACAGCGGATCAGATCAGGCGATGTCGCGGCGTCATGGAGTTGCCATCGGCATGATCCTCCGCTCACGCAGGCGGGGCTTTCATGCTCATTTCCAGTGACATACTCGTATTGATCAATGACCTCCGGTAAGTCTTTAGAGACTGGCAGAACCAACATTGCGACCTGAGTATTGGCCTGTCGACACCACCAGGCTATATCTACTTCCGTGATCGACATATCGTCTGTGTGTGGAAGAGCATAGACTGTCGGTAACCGGCGGCTAGTTCGGTAAGAGGATTCCAGATCGCAACCCACCGTTACATCGTCTACCGATCAATTTCCCCTCGGCATCAGCATGCCAAGATTGCACCCAGAGAGCCCAGGTCACGATAAACGTCCGTGGTCAATTCGAAAAAAATCATTCGGTAACTTTATAGAGGCTGTGATGCGCATAACTTCAATGAGGAACCAGTCACGGGTGTTTCCCGGCTGACAAAGCGATGAGAAGAGCTCCAATGACGATGAGTTGACGGGACTTGCAGTTGATGCAGAAGCAAGAGCGCTGAAGGGCGAATCATTTCGCGAGTTGCGCTGTTCTCCGATGTCAGAGGTCAATCAGAGCGGTATAATAGCCAAAATCGTAATGTAGCGTTGACACGGCCTCAAGCGCTCGGGGCCGGGCCAAGCAGAAGAGAAGAGAGGCCGCAAAAGTCGGCCGCTCTTGGACGCGGATGTAGGGACGGGAGCCCGGAAGACGGAAGGCCCCATTCACCCCTCTCCACCCAACGGGTGTCAGCAGCTCCGAACCCTGGGCCGTCGGAGCGACAAACACATCTCACGAAAGCCTCGCACTGACACAAACATTTCCTTTGCACAAACTTCCTCAGCAGTTGCCCCCGCCGGACCAGACGCTCGCGTCTCATCATCCTAATACCCCTCATTCTGCGAGTTACGCCAGCTCCTAAGATAAGGTACTGTTGCTTTGTCCTCTTCACATCGTGCCTCGGCCTGCTGTTTTGCTTTGTCTGGCTTCCACCCGTCACTCCTTGAGCCAATCTCCCAACCGTATTGCAACACTCTGTTGACGTCTGAGCCAGGCCAGACACCCGCCGCCGTCATGCCAATCTCTCTGAAGTTCACTGAGCATCGTTATGCTGCCGATAACGAGCTTCAGAAGCTAGGTGTATGGGAATTCCCCTCAAACACCGATAATGCCTCTGGATACTGGGTAATGTGAGTTGTTCATCCCCCCCCTGGGATGCTCTCATCCATCTCGCAGCTTAAGATGAGTATTAACGCATATCACGTTAGCTACCTCCACGGCGGAGCCTGGCGTGATCCTCGAAAGACTTATCAGGACTTCAGCGCATCCATTCAGGAAATCCTAAAGTCCAGCTCCATCCCCAGGTCCGAGGTTCGCGGCTTCATCAGCATTGACTACCGTCTCTCCCCGCACCCTCTCTACCCGCAGGACCCCGATGTTACTGCGCCCACAGAGCTTCGTTGCGCTCAGCATCCGGATCACCTCCGCGACACCTGGTCAGCCCTCGCATTCCTACAGCGTGAATATCAAATCGGAGACCGGTGCATCCTCATCGGGCACTCCGCCGGCGCTACCTTGGCCCTCCAGCTACCCATGGGATCCGTTGCGCTCGGGGCTGCCCCGCCGCCGGAGGTCAAGATGCCGACTGCGTTCATTGGCGTCTCCGGCATTTACGAACTTTACGACCTCAACGCCCGCCATGAACAGACTTACACTCAATTCATTGCCGGTGCCTTTGGAGACGACCAGAAGTCTTGGAACAAGGTCGTGCCGGCTCCCTTTTCCGAGAGCTTCAAGGATGCTTTGCCTACTAAGCCGCTTATCCTGTTGGCCTGGTCTCCGGAAGACTCACTGGTTGATGAGCCCGAGATCGATACCATGGCGGCGAAGCTGAAGAAGGACGGAGTGGAGTGCACAGTCGTCAAGGACCTGACACACGATCATGACTTTGTCTGGGAGGATGGCAAGCAGATTGCCCGCCTGCTGTCGGAAGCTCTCGCCTTGTTGAGGAAGAACTAGATTCGAGGGCCAGGTGAAAGCTTGTTTACTTTCTCCAACCACGCTCAACGCAACAGATGTATGATGGATCACCGGGTTGGTCTATAATCCTCAAATATACCATTTCTTCATTACCAGCCACATAACATTCTAATCCCATCATCTCGAAGCGTGACACCTTGTCATCCGCCGTACCAACTACAACTTCGCCCCCCAAGCCTTGCCCGCCTTGGCCGTCCTCGCCGCTCCCACCGTCAGCGCACCCGCAATCATCATCACGCCGCCCCAGACCTGGGCCCCGAGGTACGAACCCCCCGACCTGTCAATGATGGCGCCCGCGATCGGTGGCCCAGCCAGCGTCGCGAAGCCCGAGATGGTAGCGACCATGCCGAACCGCGTGCCCATCTTCTGCGGGTCGGTCGTCAGACTGGCGGTCGAGCCCACGAAGACGCCCTGCGTCGCGCCGTTGGACAGGCCGTAGAAGACACTGAAGACATACATGCCCGTTCTCGACTCCACGCCGATCCAGGCGAATTCCATGCAGCCCAGGAGGAACATGGTCATGACGAACATGTTGATCGGGCCGACGTGGCGGTCGGCTAGCCAGCCGACGATGGGCCGGATCGGGATGCCCATTCCGTTGGTGATGAGGAGCAGCGTTACCGACTCTGTTGTAGAGAATCCTATGACCTTGCGGGCGTAGGTGTTTATCTGTTCCCCAATATCAGCAAACGAGGAGCACACAACAAGAGCCATTGCCAACTTACATAAAAGAACCCAAAGTACAGCGCCATGAAGTAGAAGAAGACGCCCAGGGTGTACAAGATGTACGGCAGCTCCCGGAAAGCGGACCACTCCAACAATGGCCCAGCCTTCCTCGGCGGAAGTCTAGGTCTCAGCAGAGCAATAGCAATCGTCGCTACACCAAGAGCGACGAACGCCGAACACCGCACAGCCCAGGGAAAGCCAACCTGCGGAATGAGATACTGCAGCGTCGACGGGAAAATAAGACTTCCCACACCCGTCCCCGTCGCCGAAACAGCGAGCGCCAGCGACCTTCTCCGTTTAAAGTACGACCCGATGATAGCAACACCCGGCATGAACAGCACACCCAGCCCGAGACCGGTACAGAACCCCTGCGCCAGCATAATCTGCCAATACGTCGTACACAGACTCGTCATAAACGACCCAAACACCACAAAAGCGCAGCCCACGGAGACGGCGTGCCGCGCGTACCCCGCGTCCGTCAACCGGCCCGAGACGGTGCAGACGGCAAAGGTCAAAAAGATTTGCACGGAGCCGATCCACGAGACCTGCGAGGCGGGCAGGTGCAGCGTCTCGGTGTAGTAGAGCTGGTAGACGCCAAAGGTGGCCGGGTAGCCCCAGGCGAGGGCGTTGAGCATGTTGCCGGCCAGGACCTGGGACCAGGCCGTCCATCCGCCTTCCGGGTAGACGAGGTCGTGCTCGGCGGACCACGCGCGGGCTTGTGGTTCATCTTCTTCGTCGGTTGCGGTGGCTGTGCCGGTGGTTGTTTGGATCTCCTTTTCCTTGCCTGTGGTGATGGGGAGTTCGGCGCTGGGGCCGCGGCTTCTTGTTGTATCTGATGTGTCGGACATGGTGATGACGACCTTATCCTGTAAACGAATGTGCGATGCTAGAAAGATGTGGCCCTGGAAACATGGGATTCACAGGACGACTATGGGATTAGATATAGTGAGTTAGATCCCATCGATCTAAGGGGCCTGGAAAAAATCTTTCGTTTCGTCCCTTTTTCAGCTGGGTATATTAGATATTAGGGATGTAAAGCGAGGAGGTCCAAAAAAGAAAAATCGATCGTTCGTCAAAAGTGTCATAGCCCAAGTGGACGACGCTACTAGTAATAAGGAAGAAAAAACAAGATGATCAAAAAATTGCAACCCAACCTATCGTGCCGAAATCGCCCTATCTCTCTCACCCCGACTGCCGAAATTGAAGAACCTCTACGGAAGCAGTGTAATACTGCAACCAACGGGAATCGGTAGCAAACAATGCAGCAAACACGGCCGGGATCTTATTCCCGGCTGCGGTGCGACCCGACCGCCGGGAGCGGGAACATCCCTTCTTTGCATTCGCATATGAGCGGGCGCGCCCAACATGGCGTACGCCTTTCACGCACTATCCTACGGCCTATCTTAAGCTGCCGCTGCGGCGTGTTAGGAGTCTTCGGAGAGCCAGAAATTCGGCGAGACGGAGTGTTCGCCGAAGGGCAATGGTCTCCGACCGGATGGATCTTTCGAGTGAGACTTCTCACTTTCAGTGCGGGTATATTTCCGGTAGTATGAGTCCCCGGGGAAGGCCTTCCGAAGCGGAGACCCCACCCGTTTGGGTAAGTTGGACTTTGAAGAACAAAAGTTTGCTCCAGTTGATATTGCGGTTTGCTTGCTTTACAGGGCTGCAGGGCAGTACCGGAGTATGTATTTCCAGGTGACACTCGTGCGCGCGGACCAATGCTTTCTTCTTTCTCCCTCTCTCAAACTCCCAACTATCAGGTAAGTAAGTAATCCGTACCCGCTATTCTGACCTGGGACCTGTCCAGAGAGGTCCTCGGAATTTCGTGAATTGTGTGACTCGATCATTCAATGTCATTGGACGTAGCCACTTGGGTGGTGCCGGCGGGATCGTGACTAACACTTGGCGAAAGGCGGAGTTGCATCGTCGACATTTTAGGAGCGCAGTCGACCTGGCTCGACCATGGTTATCTACAGTGGCGTGCTTCGCGGATAGCTCTGCGGAATATCCGTAGAAAGGAATACCTACGGAAAAGCATAAACGTAGGAAGAACGAATGAGGCCGAAAGCGCAGCACGGATTTTGGAGTTTGAGATATGATCCATCATTTGGGGCATATTGCGACTAATAGTTGCCCTGAAAAACCATGCGCTTGTTTGGTAAAAGGTATCAGTGCGAACATGAGCGTCTTTATCAAATAGGAGCCAAGCCTGTACCATGCAAAGACTTCTGGCTCCTTAAGTGTTTGATTCGGCTGATAACATATTACTATCTTATCTGCTTCCCAAACACCTAAACAAACCATCGAGAACTTGATCCGACAAAAAAGCAGCGACAGCGGAGGACAGAACGCACGGGCCGCCTTCGGTTCCAACTTCCCAGGTCTGCCCCCGCTCCAAGAAAACCCGAACGCCAAAAAAAAAAAAAAAATCGACCCCCACCGGCGCGCCGAGTCGCGGATGCGGGGCGCAAACTCCCGTTCCGTTTACCTTAAACGTGCGCCCACCGTCTTCAGTCCGCCCAGTCGCATCGCATCGCATCGCATCGTCACTAACAATATGTGGCCTACCCATGTACCTACTTCCCATGCCAAATGTCAAGATGCGATTTGCAAAGAGAGCCCCGATGGAAGAAGCAATGATGGCTGCAGCTAAGGGGGTCCTTCATCTCTCCCTTTTCTCTTTCTTTTCTTTCGCCTTGCCTTACATTCACAGGCCGCTGTAAAAATCCGCGATCCGTACCGTCGGGCGCAGATCGATTGCGCATCACTTGATCAATCACTCAGTAACTCACTCCATCCCAAGCGCAACCCCGAATGGGTAAAACCCGCCCAGTGCCGTCCAATCCGAAATCCGAGGAAAAAACGTGTGAAAAAGTGTCGTCACCAATCAGTCTCAAACACAACAACGCGCCGCAAATCATGACCTGATGACACCCGACCTTTCTATCCCTGCGTCTTCTCTTCCCTACGTGCCTACCTTGCCATGCCGTGCCGTGTCTTTGGTTCCAAGGGGAAAAGAAGGGACAGCAAGCAAGCCCCCATCTGTGCTTTTCTCTATCCTAGCCATTCACCACTTGCCTTTACCGCGTCTTTTGCCACCTGCTCTATTTGCACCGAATCGCAGTAAGATTCGCGACCGCGGGACCACCACTCCTCGTGGAGTCGTGATCCCCCCGTCTTCCCCGAATAGCAAGCACCGCCACCAGTGAAACACCCAAACACCCCCAAAATCCCTCCAATCCAAAAGCTCGCACCTCCATGCTGCGCCTGCGCCCAACACTCCAAAACGTCCAAAAAACGGTAAAAAACCAGGATTTAACATCAGACGCATAAAAGTAAACAAATAAACAAAACAACAACAAATAACAAGAAGACGCGCTGCAGAACGATTCAATTCGCTACTTTCTACGCAACGGTGTAACGCATGCACACACTCTAATTCGCCTTAATCCACAACCGCAACTCCCAACCCGCAACTCGCCATTCAGGGCGCATTTGTCGACAAAAAAACCGCTCGACAGTGACACGATCGCAATTGCGCGCGCGCTGACTCAAACGCGCCGCCATGCACGCACTCAAACCCTGCATCGCTTGCATCGCATCATCCCGCGACTTTCAAAAACAAACCTACAATGGGAATGATCCCGTGATTGTAACATCGATATGGTACTCCGTACATTAACGAGATTCTTCAAACCTGACCGCAACATCGTTAAGAAGAAAAGTGCGGGGAGCTCTCGACAGGTGCGGGGTAAAAACATACAAAATGACGTAATCAGCGAGGTACCTCGCGCCTAAACCTCTCTCCCTCTTGCGCCTGCTAGACGGTACCTCTACCAAGTGGGTCGCTGAGCTTTCGCGCCCCAAGCTCATGTAGCTTCTTAGCGCGCGAGTGCGCAAAAGCCACCTCCTAACGAGAAGCCCGAGCTTCTTCCTCCATCGCGCGCACGGCGCACGGGTCACGGCTGCCGCCGCACACTGTGCGACTGTGCGCCTGTGCGACTGTGCTTTCCCCCCAAGGGCTTTGGCAGGGCGGCTAAGGCACCTTAGCGACCTGACCAAAGAATCCCAGAGCCCGGCACCCGACGTCAGCCACACCATCCAATCCACACGCCCCCCCTCCCCGCCCGAGCCGGAACGGGATGCAACGGCGAGAACCGCACGCTAGTGCCGAAAATAGACTAGCCGCGCATCCATCTTTCAACGACTTCCGTCCTACTCTATCCCCGCTCCGCACCGGAAGATGCAATGTCATCGCACCCGCATATTGAGTCTCTACCGTTGTCGCATACCATCAATCACATTGCGCCGCATCGTAGAAACCACCATTGTACATGATCAATATGTTTTTTTTTTTCGCTTTGGCTTTCACTGCTGAACTGTTGCCACTAACAAAAACAGTCGTATCGTAGCTGCGTCTTCTCCTGTTGCCCGCCACCAAATAGCATCCAGAGAGGAACTAAAGAAACAGAAGCAAGCTCGCTCGCGCAGAGAAGCTTCTGATCCCTCGCGCACATATAGGAAAACACAAACCTCCAAGGCATGCGATCCACCTTCCGCCCGGACAATTTGACCATTGCGTGAGCCTCGGAACCGTCTCGCCCGCCCTTGTACCCGTCCTTGCCTTTTGTTCTCCTCCACACCTGTAGCCTTCCAATCCCGTCCTCGCTTTGCGGTGACAACTCAGTCTTTCACAACCTCCCGCTATTTCGTTTGCGCTGTTCGCTGCGCACGCGCCTACAAGTATTCCAATATACTCGCTTGCTTTTCTGGTCTTCCGCCGCTCCGCCGCATCGTACAGTTGCACAACTTCGCCAAAACTGTAGCATCCTCGCCACAAATTGAGCCTCGCCGGGAAAGACGTGTAGTAGGAAATAAAAGACATCGCGCGCAAGCCAGTAAATGAAATCGAAAAACACCGCTTTCCGTTAAAAAAAAAAAGAGCCCATAAACGCCAAAAGGAGTGTGCGCGACCGGCCTCGCCCGGCGATTCTCGATGGAGTTTACCACCGAACCTCTGCCGTGTTGCCAGTGCTGTTGGATGGTCATGGTGACAGACATCCGAAAATTGCGGCGATGGTAGGTATGTCATAAGACGATACCGTCCGAGCGCCTCCGCCAATTTTAAACATCTTTGTCGCCAAACGCCAGTTAAGCCTTATCGGCCTTCCTCGTCGCAAGAAAAGTGGCCCAAAACTTTGTGATGTTGAGTTATGAAATAGACTAGCAAGTCCTCTTCCGAGTGCTGCAGCGCAAGGCAGAGCTCACTCCATCAAAACCCAGTCATTCTACCGCTTGCGCTTCTTGTTCTTGTCGGCCATCGCAGCCGTCGTGGCGATCGGCGCAGCTGGCAGGAGAATGGGCTGCGTAGGGTTGACAATGTCTTCCTTCTTAATAGGAACGCCCATGTGTCGGCCATACCTGCCCTTGCGTCCATTGCCCTCGTCTTCGCTGATGCATTGATCAGCATTAAGGCCGGCGTCACGGCATCGCCCGCAAGGTCGCTGCCTGTCGCAACCCTTCTTGCTCTTGCGGCATCGCTGGCAGCGAGGCTTGGCAGAAAGATCGAGCTGGTCGTCTTCGCCGGGAGCACCTGAACCAGCGGCGGCGGCAGAGGCAATGGATGGCTTGCGCGACGGAGGTAGGGAGGCCGGCGACATGGGCCCATTGCTGGCGGGAGCTGGAGCCGGAGCCGAAACAGATGACGGGGCCGAAACCTTCTTGGGCTTGGGGATAGTAGGCCGAGGAACCTTGCTGACCTTGGTCTTCGGCTTAGAGCTAGGCAATTGGGTCTTGGGCTTCGCATCCGGAAGGTTGGTCTTGTTCTTCAGCACCTCGGGTTTGACCT